TGCAAAGTATCGATAACCCCTTGTTCCAACGTCGACGTCACGTCGCGTCATCGCGCGCCCGGTAGCCGCAGCTCCGTCCCGAAGCTCGGATGATTCGCGAAAAGCTCAGATTCCGAGGGAGCAGACGAGAATCCACGTTCAAGTGATCGCAGTCTAAGTGCGTGTATTTTTCATCGACGAAACCGCCTTCAGCGGACAGGGTAGGCAAAACGGGCTCCGTCGAGCACGTATAGTGGTATCACGCCCCGTTAGATTTTTGCGCGACTCTAACGCTCAGTAGATTCATTGAATCGACGTATGCGAAAATGTCCGATGTCCAAGATAGTGTTTCAGAATTTGAGTGGACAATTTCGTTGTAACGTAACGACACAAGATGGTTTAAGACGTTAGGGATGTAGAAAAATTTTATAAATAATCCCCTAAGTGTAATTAAACGTTTACAAATAAGAGATCGATCCTATTCATCAGTGTCGTGGGACAAAAGAACCCCACCGCCATTATGAAACCCTGCACTGGACAGCGAACGTTTTCGCAACTGATTTTAACGCTAGATTTTTTTCACTTTATGATGCAGTAGTTGCCGCCACAGCTTGCAAACCTTTCACCATTAATAGAGGTACCAATAATATTCGCACTTCAGCAGGCCGATCGGGACGGTGAGGTGGGGGCTGCATCGAACAACGTAACGTTAAAGAAAAACCCATGAAATCTGAATGCTTGGTTTGAGTGGGATAGAGGGACGGAAATGATGAAAGAGAAAATCTCTGATACGAAAAAATATAGCGTGCAATCGGCTTTGCCCCGTCAAATTATTCAAACGGGTTAGGGGTGGGAGGAAGGGTTCTCCCTAGCGTTTCTCTCCTTTTTGTGTACAAAAATTCCTCCATCCTATTCAGATTTATTTTTATTTAGGATAAACGAGAGAAGAAAGCGCTGAGTTTTCCCGAGTCTTTCGCAAGATTCAATATTTTTTTCTCTCTCGGTCTCTTCCTTTCCTACCCTCTTGGAGCGAAATAATGTAGAAAAAAGCTGTAGCCTTGATTTTCAGTGCCGTCTAATTTACGCGTGTAAAATGAGTAATCTTCTAAAATTTCTCTAGAAGATTTGATCTTAAATATCAAACATAACTACCTATGTGATTACCACTGCTTGTATGGACTTTTCTTGTGAACCTATGATACAAAGTTGAATTCCAAGACGAGCTCCGTTCTAAATGTTTATACATCAGCAGCGTGGCGTGATTTGCGATGTAATGATCGATGCAACATATAAACCTATGAAAAAAGATCGATGACAGGGTGTTTGCAGTGAACACCTTAATCGATTCTTTACCACAGCTTCAAATAGGGAAATATCGATAATCGATCGCCTCTGTTATATATCCTCATTTTCAAATAAGACCGTCGTTTGAACCAACAATAGACGCTATTAGTTCTTACATCACCACGGAGATTCTTCGGTCTAACGGATTGGATCCAAGCAATGACATAACTTTCTTCACTGCTACGGATGATAATCTTAATTCAGAGTTAGGTGACAAATTTTTCAGTATATGTATAAGCCTCCATTGCTTAGCTGTGGTAAAAAATTAGATATTGATCATTTGATGGAAATCTCAATCTACTGTCTGAGCGCATAACATGCTTGCCAGTGACTCAGCTCATTTATAAGTCAGTGGAAGGTGGAAAAAATAAGCTAGGTATCAGGAACCCGCACACAAAACTTTGTTAAAACTTGCACCCAAAACTCTGTTAAAATTCATAAAAAATTTAAATAATTTTTAAAAAACAACTCGCGTGCACGAGGTGTTTGATCATGACGTCGAGGTGTTTGATCATGACGTCGAATACGATGTAATTTATAGGATTAATACGTATACTTCATAGTTCATTTATAACACCACAACTTTGGTATTTATGATCACAGATTATTCTTGGCGTCTAAAACTGGAGCGTAATCATTAGTGAAATTTTGCAACGCGGATCGCCGCAGAATCTCCGCAGAAGTTGCGAGAACGATACAGGATTATTTGCGTTAACAAGCAAAGCTCTCAATTAACCGCGAATTCAATTAACAAGCTTTACTGGGTCGTGGAAGCTCAACTTATAATGTCTTTCGCTCGCGATCTTCAGTTAGCTCCAAATTGGTGTCGTGCTTATGGCAACTAAGAAGGAGATCCCGTCCACCTCTCAACCGCTTGTTTCTTCCAGAATACTGTCTCTTGAGAAGTGAAGAGCTCTTTTTGTAGAGACAATGTATTTTGGAGACTTTTCTAAGGTTATCTAAGGGGTCATTATGCAAAGCTAAAGAAGGAAGTAGGGGAAGTTAAGATTAAGTTATCAACACCAGAGCGTGGAGGAGTGTTTCAGAAACATTTTTGAACGACAAAAAATAAACAAATTATCAAATCAGATGGGAGTTATGGTGGTTTGGAATTTCCAGTTCAGGAACGTGGATTCTCATAAAATATTTTTTTTTAATTTCGTACCTGCCATATTAGCTATACAAAATAGCTGGATTAGTGCATCTACATTCTTTCTGTTAACATTGAAATTTACCAAGCTGGCTCAAAGCTGACCTTTTGGGATACGAGAGAGAGAGAGAGTTTTCCGTCGAAATCTCAAAGTCGGATTGTTGTATGTACTCAACAAAAATTGCTATTTGGAGCTATTGTAGACTAAAAGATCCTTCACAATGGGCAGCCACGGTTATTCTATTTAAATTTTGTAAGCGAAAAAATTGTAAAATTGTAGAAATAAAGTTACATTCCTATGAGTCCCATTGTTCAAAATGCAGTCTCTTTGTGCTAGCATGTTAGCACTCTATATTCAGAAAAAAGTTCCACATCAAATAATGAACCTCGGTTCATAATGAACATGAGTGCTTTGATTCAGGTAGCTAAAAATGTTACACACAGATTCCAGCCAGAGACTTCACTTACTCCATCCGAGAACTTTGGTCATCCAAACCGAAAACGTTTGGTGTTCAATACTGCCATGCCAAGTCAAAACACCGTATGGACATTCAGAGTTGCCAGATTTACCAGTATAAAACATATTTCTCCTTGAATTTTTCAAATATTTTAAATTGAATTGCAACAAAAATTGTCTGAAAAATTTGAAGAAAAAATAATCACAACTTTCCCTGTAAATTCTTATTTTAACAAGGAAAATCTGTCAATGCCCGAAGGCTAATGCGGCATTTTTCATCATCACGGCAAAATAGGAGCCAAAGTTTAGTTTCTATAACCAAAAAACGGTTCTTGGTGTATCCAAAATTTTGTGAAATCTTCCAAATATACTGCCTTGCTAAGGAAAAACGCCGTATAATCCTTCAGACGCTGTCAAGTTTCCTCCGATAAAAATCGAGATTACTCGGAAAATTGTGAATAATATGTTCCAAAAGTTTCAGAAAATTCTGTACGCAATTTAATTAAAATACCTGAAAATGTCAAAGGGGAAAATGCATGAATGTTTTCAAATATACATGTTAAATCAAAGGTAATTTGGCAACTCACGAATGTTCTTACGGCGTTCTTCCTTAGCACGGCAGTATAATGCACCATTCAGTTCAATGACAGCTCATCGTCTTTAACTGAGTCAACTGCAATCGCTGACCCTTTTCGACAGTTGTGAGGAAAAATACTCCTTTGTAATTCTAATATTTTGTCTTCCGTCGGAAGTGAATAAATAATTCGTCGGTCCTCCTTTCCGCACACCCTCACTAAGCCGGTGGAGTCACCGTGGGGATTTAAATGTCACTGTATGAAAATAAGGGAGTGTTGCTCCCCTCCCACCCGGGATCTCCGGAGGACAAAGCGCAGTCCTGCACTGATGGGCTAATATCTGCCGGCTCCAACGACGCGTCGCGAAGGGATGCGAGGACATCTCGGCCCCCCGAGTCAAAGCTCCTTGGAAATTGGGTCATCACCCCCTCCCCCCTCCACCGTAACCACCACCACTACCACCCGTCTGCGGAATGTCTTTGTTTTTCGCCCTTTGGCGGGCTAAGCCACAGCTCATGGCTTAACGTTGGTCTTAATTCGCGGTATTAAACGTGGCCGGGATGTCGGACTCACTCGGAAATCCGCGTGTTTTGCACTGATTTAAACGTATGAGCCAGTGGCGTGGCGTGAATTGCGATAAATCGAGTTTTATGCCGTTTAAATATATGGTAAAGAATCGATTATTAAGGTGTCCGCTGCAAACACCATGTTTATCGATCCTTTTCCATAGGTTTAAATGGCATAGCAATCGATATATCGCAAAGCACGCCACGCCACTGGATGAGCATGCGAGAATGAAACAATGTAGGGTTAGACACCGGCTATGGTCATCAAATACAGATTGAAATGGTGAGGCATAATAAATATTCACAGTAAGAAGAAGTAATCGACGTTTTGTGTTAATATGCGAAGTAGAGCACCAAGTAACCTAAACGCGCGGTTATTTTTCCTTTGGGTTACCTACATCAACCAAATCTTTTTTTTGAAAATTTGCAACCTCATTAAAAATCAGGCGTGAACCACATAGATCGAACCTGCATCTCTTTAGTGATAGTATAATTTGCTTGCCTTTCATAAATCGTGATTTCATAAATCACCTCTGATTGACATTAAGAGAAACAATAGTACATTAGATCAGCAGGACACTCCCTTCACCCCAGATGTCTCAGCGTAACCTGGAGTATCGGTAGATTTAACCAACAATTTAGTCAATCAACCAAGTCCTTTTGGTTGATCTGAAGAAAATGAAGTGTCTGAAATAGACCAGAGTGACCAGAAACACGGTTGTTTTTCTCCATGATGTGAAATTCTGCCGAAGTGTTAATTCGGAGGAACTATACTATTTCTGACTCTTTTTGGAAACAATGTATGGGATCCACAAGTAGCATAATGCAGATGGGTGAGTTTGTGGATGGAGTTTGCAAAATGTAAAGTTTATTTGTGCTATATTGGGCGCTTCGAGGGAAACGCAATGATTTTTGTTGGTATGTTGCAGGATAGCATGACTTAGCGATGGATTTTCTATCACCGGGCTGGTGTGGGAGGGGCCCTCAGGGACGGTGGTGGTGCATCGCATCATGTCTGTCCTGCTTCCTGTCCCTGGTTCTGGCCCAACCATTGCAGAGCTGCCCGGCTAATCAGGACATCTCACCTTGCGTCTGCACCGTCAAGAAGAACGGCCTTGACATACTCTGCGAGGTAATCTACCATCCCTTTCTTCACGTAAGAAAAAAAAAACCTCTCTGTGATAGACTTTCTCACAAATAGAAAGTTTTACTGATTGCGTATATCATACATGCAGGCTTCCCCTTATTCAAATATGGACACTCGAGGGATCGAACCACCAGATGGGTGGTCTTGCTGGGTTATTTTCTCTGAAACAAAGTCTCGTTTGATCCATTTCAGAGGGAAGACATAATTTTTCAAAGTCTAAAAAAAGGCTGACATTGCCTACATTATTTGCGTTGTGGGACCTGTGGACAAAGGGCGATCATCTTGAGGGCCTATAATTTTTATGCAAAGGTAGTTTTCGAAAAACTCTATCTACATTTGGGAGATTTAGAGAATAAAAGGAAGGAATCTCTTGCAGGGGGATATTTTTGTTTAGAAACTTTAAAAACATCTTAAAAATCAAATAAAAATTCACGTAGATTTTTTACGCACTCCCATAGTACGAAAGGATCAATATTTTGCTCATCTCTTATTTGACTTATAACAAATGTAGTAGAGCGACGTACGAGGAGCATAAGTTTAAGATTATACATGGTACAACGCAAAACCCTTGCAGGAAAGTTCTCCCTTGAGGAGCTTTTATAAAAGCGTAACTTTTCTGACGCAAAAGAGACTAGAATGAAGGTGGTGGAAAATGCTTAATTTTAACACTAATTACGTGAGAGAGGAAAGTAGTTTGCAAGCTGAGAGGAAAAGTATGCTTGTTAACACGGCAGGGAAGTAATGAAAGAGTCCGTATCCGCAAGAAATACGTCTCAACGCAGAGTGTTCACACGTTTCAACTCCTCTTAAAGAGCACCGCAATGGCTATATCACGAGTAACACCATAAAAATTTACTTCCTTTGAAATCAGTTTTTTTTTTGTTACTGTATGTTTCCAGTAATAAAAATCAATATTTTGACCTTTAAAGTAATTGTCTAAGGACGGTACTGAAAAAAGGGATGGCTTTACTCACTGTCAGTTCTAGCATAAATATGTGCATAACTGTTACTTAACCCTGCTTGCAAACAGTGCGTTTAAAAAAAGGAAAATTGAAAAAAAGAAAAAGGAAACTATATAGGGGAATCCCTGCTGTTTAAGATCACTGTCACCTTGGAAAAAAGTTCATTCACGGCAGAAGCAATTTGAATTTTCTTACATCTTTAAATAGACTGTGCTCATTCAGTTGGACAACGATATTCTTAATATAATTTTATAATTTTGTAAAATTTTAAAATATTAACTAAAGAATATTATGTTTTTATGTTCCGCGTTGACATTTAAAAGATATTTTTCAACCACACGTAGGTAACTCATTGAAAATTTTCAAAAACTAAGTTAAACATTAAAAGATATATTCTTAAAATACTGTAAAATTTTCTTTTCAAAGGTATTTATTTGAAACATAAGTAATATCAACCCTCAGATGCCCAAGCCGCGTCATATTGACTGGAGGCTTGCTAAAAAAACATGCTCTTCATGTTGTATGAGGCCGGTACATACGAGCTTAGATGTAGGTCTAAAAATACACCCCAAAAAAGAATCAGACATCAACTTGAAAAAGAAGAAAAAAATCAAATGTCAAAACACAACCGAAGATAGGGGAGGTGTAATCGGACCTCGTTTTTATAAACTTTTCCCCCTAATGTGAGCGACAACTGTTTGGCAGCAGAGCGGAGTATCACGAATTTACGCCTCGCGCCGTCGCGCCTTCAATTTTGCAGATGCAACACGGACATCCATCAAGCACGAATAGTTGTATCTCAGCGCCGTTATCAACGAGAGTGAATAGTTGTATCGTATCTTGGCGTTGTCATCAACGCGCGTTTGAGGAGTCCCATATTTTTAAATGTTCAGTAAGTTAAGGTTAAGTTTGCTCAATTATGTTATGGTGTGACTAAATCAATGATCATTTTGAGAGAGAAAGAAAAAATGCTTAGATGTCATTTAAGCACCCGTAAAGAGCTCGCGTCTAAAAATTGGTATTTTGGCGGGAGATGTGTCATGCCAGAGAAACTTTTCCTTTGACAACTACCCCTAGAAATCTCGACAAATATGACGGATGAGGAGGATGGGGTGAGAAATTGCCAGTATACATATGTTACCAAGAAGGTGGCAATTTAGGAAAAAAGAAGAAAAAAAATAACGATAACCGTGAAAAGCTTATAGAAATAACAAAATTGGTACTTAAAAAAGTATCAAAATCAATGCATTTAAAAACGAGTCAATTTGATCGGACTTTGGACCTAGCGTATGAAAAAAGTCTTGAGCATACAAATTAACATCTGAAAGCTGAAAAAGTTTTTAAAACTAAAATAACTTTAAATCTAAAATCATAGTACTGAATTTAGTTTTGCAATCTTCCCGCCTTTTTTCTAAATGTTTAGTTTGAGCCGAAGCGGGTGAGACCTTTCTCACATACCGAGTGCAGCAGCTCCGGACTAAAAAGTCACGCACAAGCTTCGTTTACGAAGTATGCACTTTACTTGCCACCGACCAAACTACCGGAGTTGCCGCTTCGGGCACATCTGCGCAAATTTTCCGCAAAAAATCCAGGACAAATTTGCATCACACCCGGCCGGAACGACAACCGTACGAGCACCGAGCTCACCCAGTTCCCCTGCGACAGAGGACAAAGTCTCTCCCGTAATTACCTCAACCTCTCTACTTACAGCGCAATTGCAGGCTCTTCGCCACCCCTCCCTCCTTCATTGTGACGTCATCGCTTTTCATTGACTTCCAGCGCAGTTGTGAAATATTCGAGGGTGAAGCATTTTCTAGCTCATTATTCCTGTGCCAAGGAAAATCGGACCTATTAGAGCGAAAGAAATATTTTCCGGACAGTTTTTCGTCGCGCGTAGGGAAACACGGGGAAAAAGTGACCTGCATCTACCGTTAAGAAAATTTCCTCAGAAAAGGGAGAAAAAGGTTAAGAAAATCGCCCAATTCAAGCAGAATTTGCTTTGTTTAAGAGAATTTTTTCTTAATGTTTGTTTCCAGAGATATTTCATATTGTAGGTAAAACAAGAATATGTATATTTGCTCAATCAATTAAGTCATGTCAAAAAATGGTATAGAGTTTAAAAAAGGCACTCCTGAAATCACTAAAAAATACATCCGAGTATCGTTACATTTATTTACATTCAAAGGAGGGCTTAATATACATTATTTTCAAACTTTGAGTCACCAGCATGACATGCTAAAATATTACATATCTTGAAATCATAGATATTACATATCTACCTCCTGAAACCACGTTTTATGAATTTAATAGTTCAGACAATCACAACGTGAGTTCAGTTTCTCAAGGCGTTTTTAGGGCTAAGTTTTTTCAAAACTACATTACGTACCAGGACTGACCAATATCTCGATTTTAAATTTCAGTATACTAAGGTCCGAAGTACTCTGACTCTATCCGTCGGTAATACACAAGAGTTACCTACCACCTTTCATTAAATGTTAAATATGAGTCATTTGAAAGAAATACTTGGCATTAGCCAGGCAGCTTGAAATTCCCTTTCCAGTGAGAAGCTGGCATCCTTTCTGGCCGTTCCTTTCGGCGACTATTTCACACTTCAAAAGATAGAGATTTGTCACCAATGCCATCAGTATACATCTTGCAAATAACGTGATACAGATATATCAGCAGGGTAACTTCTCGATGACCCAGCATCTGTTTGCATCATTAATTCGATGCCTCGAGATGCTAATAAGAGCCGTAAAGTCAATACCCGCATTGCCCGATGGATTACTTTATCAGCCAATACAACATCGAGTCGGTAGGGAAACCTCAAATTTTCTGCAAATATGGCATCCCTGATAATTTGATACCCGTGCGTCACAGCTTCGTTCGTTAGCGCGACAATTACCGTTCCGTGGTGGACTAAGAGGGCTGATCAATAACTTCAATTAGTAAGAAACGATAAACGGGGTGGATTGTTAACGTTCGTTCGGTTGACCTCACGGTAATTAAACTTGTTCGCGTGCCGTACGCAATTAAATGTATGTTAGGAGGGACGGGGACTCGGTTGACAAAGCTAGAACACACGCCTTGGAAATTATAATACAACTGCTCAATATTAAAATCTCGGTGCATGTGTGGTCGTAATGGATCAATCGCGCATGCCTTACCATCGCGGTTTGATTTTTGTATCTTATGAATAAAAAGGAAACAGGACGTAAGAATAGTTTTGGGTCCACACCATTCTGAGAGGTAGACAAAGCAGGGCAAAACAAAAAAATTAGAACGGAGATGTTGCATGTGTGAGGAATTTGCGATTTGACCGTTAACTCTTATGTAAAAGTTCGCGAGAAACACGATGGTGCCACTGGTTTCCTCTGAAATCAACTCCCGAGCTCACAAAAAAGCTCTCAAGTTGAGGCCAAAATGGAGGGGATATCCCACGCTATCCTGAGAGTCCACCTCTACATCAAGACGAACTCTCTATGCAAAGATAGGAGCAAATACATCGACAGGGCTGCCACTTTATTTGGGGACTCTAAAACTGAAATCACGGCAGCCCTGCTAATGTATTTGCTCCCTATCTTTGCATGGAGAGTTTGTCTTGATATAGAGGTGGACTTTCAGTATAGCGTGGGATATCCCCTCCATTTTTGCCTCAACTTGAGAGCTTTTTTGAGCTTGGGAGTTGATTTCAGAGAAAACTAGTGGCACCATCGTGTTTCTCACGAACTTTTACGCAAGAATCAACAGTCTAATTGCAAATTCCTCACACATGCAACATCTCCATTAGATTTTAAACCAATATAGTTTCAATACGTTTCAGTGCAAACCTGTAAGGAATGGAGTCAGAAGTGGATCCAGCAATGTGACAACACCGGCTTTCCTCCCTTCAAACCTATGTTAAATAATCGAATCTTGTCGGAGCACCTGGCCCCTCCAATAATCGATATATTTTCGTGGGTTTAAATGGAGAAAAAACAATGCTGCCGATTTGCTGGATCCGCCCATGAAAAGTGTTCATTAGAAGCATTAAACCAGTGCGCTACAGAAATTCTGTGGTCGAGTCTTGCTGACTCACCGGACTGTTCTGCCGTGCTGAGGAAAAAACGCCGTATGAACATTTGAGAGTTGCCAAATTTCCCGTAAAAAACATGTATTTAGGAGGAAATTATTCATATTTATCCTTGAAATTTTCAGGTATTTTAGATAGAATTGCGAAAACAACCGTCTGAAAATTTAACAGATAAAAATACAACACATTAATCCACGAAAGTGCAAAGTGGTCCATAAATAACGTCAGACACATTTCCCGAATTTTATGTGTGAGAATGTGCCTCCTATTTGGCAATTCCGTCTCTGCGTAAGATTCTTGAAAGTTTACGTGACGTAAGGGCTACGTGACTAGAGTCTGTTCACGTACATGACGTCATTGTGAGAGGGCGCCATTGCAATTACAGCCATACTCAATTACCGAACCGACCATGCCAAGAGGAGAGGGGTCTTAGGGGAGCGAAAAGATTTGCGATTCTGTTACAGAAAGAGCTTTTGACTTTTCGATCAGCGTAAAGCTCAGCTAAATAGTTTCGATCCGGGTTGCTCTACAGAAAAATAATATTGAATCAGTTTAGAATCATAAGGTACAAAATGGATTTTGGAATGAATGTCCTCTCCGGCAATGTAAGTAAATAGGTCTCGGTCTCACAATTTTATTATCTCTTACTTGAACATTAAAATGGATTTATGAAGTAACAAGTGCTGTACATGTAAGAATAAAAAGGATTGAAAATGGTGCAACTACAATTTGGATGAGTCAGAACTATTTTTTGGTTGGTTTTCTCCACAAAAGAGCTTATCTGCGCTTTTTTTCTAAGAGTGAATTCATTTAAAAATATTTTGCGCGAATTCACAAATCGCAATTTAATGTTGCGCGTTGTTTAAAAATTCTTGGTTATAAAATTGTCTTAAAAAATGTAATGTTTGTTTCAGAACACGAACTCGCATTTCATATCACAAACAATGGCCGTCTTGAAAGGCAAACAAAATGTAGTGATATACTACTTGAAGCTAAGGCATAATACGTTGCACAAGCTTCAGGGGTTCGTATTTTTAGGAATGGATATACGACACCTCACAATTCATAACAGCAGTCTAGCTGCAGTAGAAGAATCATCACTTAGTTCAATAGGTTAGTATCTTTTCACATTTTTCTACTTAAAACGGTAAGAATCCATATTAGGTTCTGCCCCAAAATTCAACTTGAGAAAGAATGAAAATCCAATGCTTTCGTCGAATGTGTGTATGTTCAATTATGTTTATGTATTGGAAAAATTATTATTCTAAACTTTTGACCCATATTTCCCATGGTGTGACCACTGAGTCAATTTGGGACTTGTTTCGATGTAGCGAATATGGGTATGACCTCTATTTAATTTTAACATTATCAATCTTGGAATGAACGATTTATGTTATCATCGGACTTAACGCTATTAGTAAATTGTACAACGGGACGTACAAGGCTAATTCATTCGGAAACTTTGACAGTTCACAAAGCCTGTTTCTCAGGAAAGAGCTGAGATGCGAACACGGCTACAAGGCACAGTGGCTGCTAGAAATGAGGTCGAATTTATGTCTCAGTGCACACCGATGCATGCGGTTTGATCGTTCAAAATCGACGTAAATGCAGTGTTGCTAAAATTGAAATTGTTCGTCGATATTTTGTTAGCTTTAGAAGAGTAGATTTTGATGTCATGATAATTGTGATGATGATTTTGGATGAATTCTTAAAAAAATCTGTTTCATCTCATGTCTTTCAAACAAGCTACGATGATGTAACTTGAAGCGCGTTTGATTCAGCCGAATCATCTAGCTTCAATCTGGTGTCTCTGATAAAAAATTGAGATCTTTGACAGAAAAAATGAATTAGGTATTACAGAAAAAAACTTCTCTCCTCGCTTCAAAGATCTGAGGAAAGTATCAAACCTGAACAGACGTCAGGTACTTCGAGATCTGCAACCCTGCCCTGCACTCTGATAGCTCTCTCTGCAAATATTAGAGGTGTATCAAGACTTCACTCTTCCAACCTTTGAGAGAACGCTTGAAACTTTTCAGATATAGATAGCAAGCGGGCTGAGAAGGGAAAGGGATCATCTCAAGCAACTTTCAAGTTGTTTGAGTCGTAAATGATATTTTTGCTACTCTTTGGACACGTAAATAAGACGAGAGTCTTCCGACGTTTCTACTTTTCTCGAGATAATAAGGAAAACGTTGGATTTTGACACCGGGAAAAGCTTCCTGTGTTGTAAATAATAATTTGGAAGATTTTAGATAGTGAGGGTTTTTATCTCATTTACAATTACAAGAGCCCCCTCCCATTTGGCTACTATGAAGCCTGACCCTGAAAGTCTCGCGCAGAAATGCTTTGGTGCAATATGAGCCTGGGCATTAATTCAAGCAGCGTACCTTAAACTATATTTTGTCAGCCGAAAAGTCATAAAAACCGACCGAGTGAATCTATAAATATAACTCAGAAAGAAATGAAAATCTTGGGTTTAAAGGCTCTCAGTAAAGATTTGTCATTTGTATAATGAGGAAAAAAAACCTAGCAGTGCTGGAGCTTTTCCGGCAAGATCAAGCATAAGGCAGAGGCATACGGCTAATTGGACAGCGTAGAGCAGAAAGAAAACAAGCCAAATCAGAAAGGAAACAAGCCACATCAGCTATTGCCAAATTTAATCGGTCGATTTGATTTTTTACAAGAGAACGTTTGTGCGGATTCCTTTGAAAATTTCAAGGGATTTACTTCACACTATGCAGAAAATTCACTGGAATTCGCACAAAAATCCGTAAAACCATTTTTATGTAAAAAGACAGAACTCCCAATTAAATTTGGCAATAGCTGATGTAGATGTGGCTTCGTTCCTTTCTGCTTAACGCGGTTCAATTTTTTAAATTATTTTGTGTTATGCACGGTGAATAAAAGAGTCAAAAATTCACAGAAGGTCTTAAGGGTTTATTCTGCTGGGTTTTATAATAGCATAGTAAAATATGAGAGGAACTCAGACGACAAGTTGGAATAAGGTTGCTTTCAGTTAAATCCAGCAGAGAGCAGAAAGGAAACAAGCCACATCAGAAAGGAAACAAGCCACATCAGCTATTGCCAAATTTAACTGGTCAATTCGATTTTTTACAAGAGAACGTTGGTGCGAATTCCTTTGAAAATTTCAAGGGATTTACTTCACACTTTGCAGAAAATTCACTGAAATTTGCACAAAAATCCGTACAACCGTTTTTATGTAAAAAGATAGAACTCCCAATTAAATTTGGTAATAGCTGATGTAGATGTGGCTTCGTTCCTCTCTGCTTAACGCGGTTCAATTTTTTAGATTCTTTTGTTTTATGCGTATTGAATAAAACAGTCAAAAATTCACAGGAAGTCTTAAGGCTTTATTCTGCTGGGTTTTATAACAGCATAGTAAAATATGAAAGGAACTCAGACGACAAGATGGAATAAGGCTGCTTTCAGTTAAATCCATTCAATTAAAGTGCTAAGTCTCCCCTCCCCTCCTCCGGAATCGTGTCGAGAATAACAGCGGATTTGAAAGGATGTATCCAAAAATCGACAACCACGCCGTGAACTCGAGGGCAGCCGGAAGTCGTGGAAAATCTCATCAAGATTTAAATTCCACACCAAGAGCGGATTGCCATTATCGGGAGCCCGATCGCATCTGTAACCCGGCGAGCTAGCTCCTTAATTTCATTTTTCCCCGACTTCCACCGCCTTTCCAATCAAATATTAATTGGAGCAACTGCAAGCGATAGCTAGGATAGTCCGCCCCCTCCGCAACCCCTCACGACTCGCTGGAAAAGCGGGAGGGTGGGTGGCGTCGTTCAGACAAATTGATTTCATCTTCCAATTATGGATTTTCTTTCGACAAGAAGCGCGGAGGGAATCGGAATCGGTTTGTTGAGTTTTGACGATAAACTTCATCGCCGTTAATGTGAGGTTAGGGTGGTTATAAACACTCATCTGGAGAGCCCACGCGGACAAAAAAGGCTTGGATTGTGTTCTGTGACCAAGATTGGTCACAGTCCCCTAGAGCGCACAATGTACGCTCTTTGTGAGTTTCAAAGTATCTTGACCTACAAAGACGATATATTTTAGAAACCTTACGCTGCCCGTTCTATGCGTCTCTTATCACAAATTGTCACTTCCAGCCAAATTATCACAAGCGCCATGCGACGTTTAAAAATTTCCGCCGCCATTATATTTTTTGTAGACAAATTGTTCAATGAAGCTGTCCAAAAATTTCACTGAATTTTCTTTGTGGCACATTAAGGCACAGCTGCATTTACATTGTAAGCATGCTTTTTTTAAGTTAAGGAGGAAAGAGGTAATGTTTGTGAACAGTAATTAATGACAGGGAAGCGTCGAGGGAAACGCATATCACCTGACAATAACTCATGCTCGAACGGACATACACCAGTGCCTTCAAACAGCAATGAACGCAACCATATCGTCACCTTCCGGCCAAAGTATCACAAGCGCCATCCGACGTTTCAAAATTTTCGCCGCCATTATATTTTTTACAGAGAAATTGTTCAACGAAGCTGTCCAAAAATTTCACTGAATTTTCTTTGTGCCACCGATAAACTTTTTAAATACATTCAACCAATAATTTCTTTGTAAAAAAGTTAAATGGCGGCGGATATTTTGGAACGTCGCATAGCGCTTGTGATACTTTGGCCGGACTGTGACGAAATATTGTCAAAATTATAACTTGCCTCACTCTGCGCAAGCAATATCCTCCCATTTTATCTTACCTTCCTGATGTACCGAGCGATAATGAAACAAATATTGCACTACCACTGAAAGAACATTAGTTGTGAGATATAAAGGCTGAACCCTGCAAAAATAGTAGTGGTGCTATTTTAATTTTGCCTGGATGTTTATTTTCACTATTATTTTACTTTCACCATACTTACGGTTTCCTCCGTGAGAGGTTTTTTTCTGGGCGCTATTGCCTAACAATATTTACAGTGATGATCGTGGCTGTGCTGTTGCAACATTTCAACCAATATCACTCAGCGATACTGCTGTGAATATTTTCGCACCATTCTGAAACTTTTTTTTTTTTTTTTTTTTTTTTTTTTTTTTTACAGATAAATTATTGGTTGAATCTGTTTGAAAATTTTATCCGCAGCACAAAGAAAATTTAGTGAAATTTCCGGACACATGTTTTGCTCGGAGATAACATTGTGAAAAGTTCAGTATATTCTAGACATAATTTACAATTCTCTTAGTCTCTATAGCGTCATACAGGACGGGAATCTCGTTAGAATTATGAACTGTAAGGTAGAGACGGACCGAATATATTTTAGAAAATTCGCTCTAAAAATCTGACAGTTGACTGGTAGCTAATTGTTGAGCAAAATTTAAAATGAAATTGGCGCAGTGATGACCACTGAATATTTGATTGAGCACTTCGCTATACAGATGAGTTTTTGCAGACCAATATTTTAACTCTTTGGTCATCTGTCATCATTAAATAGATCTGTACAATATCTTCCGAAAGGAACTTTTACACTACGGGGAAATATTGATGCCTAGTCCCAAGGATATATTGACTCGGAGCGGCGGCTTGAATAAAATGACAACAACGGACAAAAAGCCCTGTTACGCAACATCCATGAACAAACATTTTTCCACGCATTAGAGAGAAAGGAGAGAGAAGGCGATTCCGATAAGTGATAAAAAGGCGACTGATGGAAATTCACGGTTATTTGACTGCCATAACGCGCGAGCAGCGAATTTCACAATTCCCGAGTGTGGAAACGACCGCATTTTGAAGGCCGCGCCCGCCCGCTGGAAACGAATTTCGACTCCATGCCCACCCGCGCCGATCCCTTCGGAATTAACTTTGCGCGTGGCAATGGCAACTCGCCACAGACTGTACTGCCGCTTTTCGAATTATTATGACTATCCGACAGAGAATTTGCAGGTGTTTGAAGTTTGATGAATTTCGTGTTTAAGTGGAAACTACTGAGTGAACTGAACACGAGGATACCCTTGGTTCATGTATTGAACGATTCCTGGAGAAGGTATGACAAAATGATCCGATCTGCTAAAATACATGTGTTTGAATGAGAAATACCGGCAGATGACGTCACTAGGCGGTGCATTTTCTCTTTTTTAAATATATTTTTATACTATTTTCCATATCATGAAAACAAGTAAAAAAAAACAAAAAAACTGTGAAATCAGCTCCTTAAGCACTTTCAGAAAGATGAAGCAATAAAACATTTGCATGCAAATTTTCCATTCAAATTATGGTTTCAAAAATAAACTGACAACGGTGTTTAAATGTGTGATGAAGTCAGGCAAACTTTGCCTGAAAAAGTAAACGCAAAATTGTTTAGCTGAGACGGGTCGCATTTTAGGAAGAAAACTAGGCTCGGAATGGCTTTTTATTTAACTTTCGTTGAGTACTCCCCATACGCAGCCAAAATTTAGCAGGTACCTATATTATGAAAATACTATACCCTTCGAAGTCAAAGTATGATACGATGACGGTACTTCTTTTAATATCTTGGGAAAAATCAATATTCAGAATCTATGTTAATGTACACAATAATTCCGTTATTCCATCAATATAGAAATTATCGTCAGTAATTGAAATTTGATGCATTGAATTCGCAAAAAATGCAGTGCAGTGCTAGGAAATCAGATTGTGTTATCAGGAAATCAAATTATTTCTTTTAGACACGTCATACGCCAGAAAATTATTTATAGTTTGCAGATCTGACTTACTGCCAGGATTACACAGTTGCTAGAACATTATGTTAGATTTGTATATTTGTTATTATTTTCATCCAGCGTAGTGAAAAAGACAAAGACGACGGCAACATTAAGGCATGTTGACAACGTAGCAGCAGATTATAAGTTCGTTGCTCTGAAAATCCACCGCTGCTGTATCTCTTTATAATTTCGAGATATCTCGAAACGACTGAGGCGAATATTCCAGCTTTGAATGGAGATTTTCGGCGTAGGCCGTTTATTCAAGAAAATCCCATAGAAAGTATGACGTCGTAGCATCGACGAGTTTCTAAGGATTTATTCGAAGAAAATAAGACTTCAGTAAACGTTCTCTAACACCTGTATTTGAACCCCGCTCACATTTGTGTACATTCATTGTTTTGGTATCCCCATGAACCTTTGAATCAACAGCCACCCAAATGGCACTAATATGTCGCTTCAAAATTTACTTTCCGTCGAAATGGATTAGTGGCGAAGACGTTGCCATGATTCTGTCGAAGAATGATACTGATCTGGTATCGTATACTTATGGTTAAATGCTTACAGGGTGCTTCTCGATTCATGTATCTCCACTTTAGTGGATGAAGTGTTATAGATTAGAATGATCTTATTTTTAAGTTCATCTTCTTTTTTTGTCGGCCACATGTCTTTGAATTTTTCTAAATCACCAATAAGTGACAGCAGGGCCGGATTTACCTACTTGCCTACCACGGACCGCCTGTATTTAGCCGCCCCTTCTCATTCGTTTTGAAACATCGATACATTATCTAGTGAACTGAACGTGCCGGAAGAAGAGAGGTGCATAAGACGCGTTTACTCGTGTTGGGCACATTTTTTGTGAAAACTTTGTCAACACTAGCAAAAGTTCACGGAACTTTGCGCGAAAATTAAGTTCCGTAAACCTATCTCTGTGTGGACGAGGCCTCTCATGTATAAGAAGAGAACGAAACAATTATGAAAGAATAAACATGAATGTGGTTTAATGATTTTAATTTCCGCCACCGCGCCAACCACACTGTGTTTGGCACAATGCGTGAAGTATCCATACAGTCTTAAGGGCGCTATGCGTTTCACGCCGGCCGCTGCTGATCGCACTGTTTTTGACGCAATGCGTGAAGTATTCATGCAGTCTTGTAGGCACTGTGAGTTTCACGCTATAACCGCTAGCGCTGCTGACCGCACTACGTTTGACACAATGCGTAAAGTATTCATGGAGTCTTGTAGGCGCTAATATGTGTTTCATGCTGACCGGCGCGCCGAGGGCTTCTCCTTTCCATCTGAAGTCCTCGTCATCATTGCTCTCTGCGCCGCGCCGGCCGCTCTGGGTGAAATTGCGTGTTTGATTTCTCTCTCAACTAGACTAATGAAAGGCGATGTCTTTTGTATCACCAAAAGACGAACAAATTAGAAATTATATACCTTAACTCCCAGGAAATGAGAGATTTTTTCGCCTTTTCTCGTTTGTATTTTTTTTTTTTTCTGAATCAGATTTTTTTCTTGATACCTACGTTTGAGAAGATTACAACATTTGCCGCCCCCTTTGCCGCCATGGGCCGCAGCCCATGTGGCCACCCCCTAAATCCGACCCTGAGTGACAGGATTTTTAACTATTTACATTCTTGAAAATTTTAACCCAAAGAACGTAGATCTTCCCGAGGAAAAAAAATACAAACATAGGGAATTTGAGGGCTTAAAGTTATTGATTTATTATTAAAAAGCAAAATTTTACTTGGAGTGTTAAATATAAATCAATTAATTTGGTGTAATCATGATTTGTACAAAAGATTTTTTAGTTATTTGTTTTCTCCTCTTCGAAGTTCAATGATTCTGAGATTTTTGTAACATATCAGCGAAAAACGGAATATGTTTATCGGGGGGATGAATGTGGATGAGAAATGGGCGAATCACTGCGGAGAATTTGTAATTTAAAATAGGCTTAATCTCAGAATTAATCGCGAATTTTACTTTCTGTTACAGGAAAGAAATTGACACAACTGGACTTTTCACAAAACGTGCTGAGCCTAGTTCCTTCACCTGCACTCCACTACCTGCACCATCTGTTAATACTTAATTTAAATCATAACAAAATTAGTGCGATACATTCGAATGCGTTTGAGGGGCTTGACACGCTCGAAATTTTGACCATGTATGAAAATAAAATATTCATTATAGAGCCTGATGCATTCAAAGGACTAGACAAGTAAGTTTCTCTCATTCAATCTACATTCTGTAAAAATGAAGATTATATTTTTTACATATCATTGACATACAATCGTTTTTGTTGCTTCCGCAGATCTTTGCATATGTGTGTGCATGTATAATCATGAGTAAAAAAAAAATATTTAATTGAAATGTATACTTCATTTACATTCTCATTTATTTGATGCAAAACACCGTAATATGCCACGAGGCTTCATTTCATTTACCGACGTATTTGTTTTTAAAACGCATAAATGTACCATAACACGCCAATCTACTTTGCTTTTCACTTAAGAACTAACAGCATTAAAGAATTTAAGTACCGAAAATTTTTACGAGTTTTAAAGTTTTACATAAACAAACTTGTATGTAAGAAGGACTGTTAAATATTTTTATGTATAATTCGTGAAAGAAGAGGGGAAAAAGCTGGAGGAATGACCTGAATTTGTTGGTATTTTTTCTTTTTAAACATTTCACGGTATTTCCTCTTAGTCCGTCTATCACTTCTTTACGAGTTGGTATAAAAATTCTAGGAGACAAACTTCACGTCATACACCATTAAAATTGGAAAGTTTGTTTATTTTTTTTTCATTATTATGCATTGCACTCTTAGTAAGCGGCCAATTTTTAAATATGTGTGATATGGTGGGGAGTGAAATCTTTTTCTTTCCTTAAAAACCCAATGTAAATTCATTAAGCTTGCATAGATTTGAATTTTATGGACGAGTCCATGCAAAAAGGAACTATGCCCAAATTAATTATATTTAAAGGAACTTATGGGGTACATATAGGAGCTTGGTGCATCACACTTCTTTTTGTATTTAATTCGTTCGGTAATAGTTTATTCTTTTAGAATCACTGGAAAAAATCTTCATCTCTGAGCGTGTATCAGTGTAATCAGTGTGTAATATCAGTGTATATATAACCGTTATTTCAGAATAAAAATATTTCTTTGAGCTCGCCAGAAATTGAACTATACCTATATCGAACCAATATATCATATAAAAAGTAAAACAAATAATCAATATTGGCAAAGCCCCTATTATTGAGGTACATCAAGAGAGTGAAAAATAGTACATCCCGTAAGCCGAGGCCGAATTGTTGGAAGCTAATCCTAAAAGTAGTGAGCTTTGTAAGCTAACTCCAAGTTCAGAGTTCATGGAAGTCCCACGGGGAGTTGCGTGCCGGGACCGAAAGCTCGCTGCTTCAACTCTCCCCCATTATTTTCTATCGAGTAATTGTGTTCAGCGACCATTAGATTCTCATTACTTTGACTTATGCTGCTTTGCGCATTTTTTAGAAAAGTTTGATTTTGCCTAATTTTTTTTGGAAATTTATATGAATTTTCTGAAACTCGACATAAAAGGTTTATCGCAGTTACAGTATTCTGTGATGAGAATGGTATGTTTTATCGTGGACAGTTGGTTTTATGAGGGAGGAATATGGTACAATTAGGCAGATTCAATCCTATCCTACCTCTCTTCCTGCTGACCTCGGCTGATGGCTTTTGAGAAATTACGCGAAGGGCGGCAACGCTTTTATCTTACGTGGTAGTAAGCGCCATGGTCGAAAAATTCTGCCAAAATGCACGTGGATAATTGCGGCGACGATAGATCTCTTTACTTACTTACTCCAAAAACACATTGAGAGCCGTAAGTAAAAACGGCTTGACAAGCTTTCAATATCTAGGGGCAAAATTTTAATGCGTTATTTGAAATTTTCTAACTTTAAATTTTCTAGGAATTTGCAAATGTGTATGGATTTCAGAGCATCTTGAAGAAATGAATAAACACATTTTTTGACTTTAAGCTATCGAAATTCAAATGAAGAGTGTCACCAAGAGATTAAATATAATTAATACTTCAGACGTAATCAGTGGAATTATTTTCACTCTGAACTCTGTTTGCGAATTTCGGATCTATTATCCTCAGTTTCCAAAAATGAGCTGAAGTAAATTTGTTAATGAGCCTCTATTTTAATAAAGATCAACCAAGACGATTATTCCTTTCATGAATGCGAAAAAAAGGAAAGAGAAAGAGACCAAACACGCACATCACAAAGGTTTTCCAGGAACCGCGAGGAAATATTTTCACAGAGTAAAAGTATTTGCATTTTAATGGAGGCGAAATAAAAGCAAGTATAAAATTACAAAAAAAAAAGAAGATGAAATAAAAACAAACTGGGAACTCAGAAGAAATACACAGTTGTGGAACTTGCAAACGATCTGCAAAGCAGTCTTGCAGCGTTGATGGGAAAGTTTCGCCCCCTCAGCGCCGAATCGAATGGATTTTCACGGCGGCTGGCATCGGTGTGGTGAAGAAAAATAAAAAGGTTTAATCGTGGGAGCTTTCCAGCACGCCTTTTGATCACTTTTTGAAGAAAGTTTATTCCATTTTATTTACGTTAGGTTGATTTTCCTTGTTCGTGTCTAAATTTTCACCTCTGCGTGGAAATGAGCAGCAGCGCTTTGAAACTTGGGAGGCCGCGTTCGGTGGAGCAACAATTTAATCCATTCTGCTCTGTCTCCTCTTTCAGTTTTTAGACTCCGTAAAAATTTAAGAGCTTTATGGAACAGGAAAAGAGCGACTTATTTGACTTTTCCTGCGATACCAGTTCCGAACTTCGTAAGTTCCGTGGGGTAAACCTGTTTAAATAATTTGTACGTTCAGGAATAATTGAATTTATTTTATGGGTGCTTGAATTAAAGTAATTGAATTAAAACAAGAGACTCACAATCATGTATCATGCTGTCACAATCCATTCACTACCGGTTAAGGTGTTCTGAGAGATTTTTTCCATTGAAAGCTGTGAGACTGCTTTGCACATTGTTCGCAAGTTCCACAACGTTGTATTTTAACTTGTGTATAATGGACCAGTAGACAAGATACGAATTTCAGCATTCTGATACTCGTTCCATAACCAAAATTCCACGTAGAACACGATACGCAGAACAAAAATTACTGAAATCAACTCCTTACGAGGATATTTAATGATTCTTGATGCACGAATTCAAACCACCCGCTCATGAAAACTCAATGCTCTACGTGACTCACATCGCGCGCTAAACGGTATCATGACAGCCTCTGCGACATAAAAATCTGGCAACCTCAATCTTCACACTTTGGCTCAGCTATAGCAAGTTGTTCATAGTTTGAACAACACACGGTGGGAAATGAACATTGCTCGATTGAGAAGCTTGCTGAAACCGTTATAGTGCACGATTTGACTCACGTAGAGCTTTGAGTTTCTTATGAGCGGGCAGTTCAAATTCCTCGTAACCAATGTGAAATAAAAACGTTAGGTAATATCTTTGCTAGGAGTTGATTTCGGTAAATTTCGTTGCGCGAATCGTGTTCTACGAGAAATTCTTGTTAAGAAACGTGCAGCAGAATGCTTAAATGTGTACCTTGTCTAGTGGTCCATTAGTATGTAATTTTTATTTTATTTTATTTTTTTTTCGTAATATTATACTTGCGTTAATTTTAAATAGCATAGAATTTGCTACATGGAGGGACCTTGTACCAGCCCGGTGAACTTGCATACTGCCGTGCTAAGAAAAAACGTCGTATGAGCATACAAGAGTTGCCAAATTTCTCCAGATAAAACATGTACTTTTGAGGAAAGTTATGCACATTTGCCGTGAAATTCACGAAAATGTTCGATCAAGTTCGAACAAAATTATCTAAGAAATTCGAAAAAAATATTCAAAATTGGTCGAGTGAATTAGGTTTTTAGTAGCGGAAATCTGGCAACGTCTAAAGGTTCATACGGCGTTTTACCTTAGCACGGCGGCATAGGTCAGGCGTTTCACGTGAATCGTCACGAAGTCGGGCCAAGCAGCGTGAATGGCACACTTTTACCCTGATGACCGCGATAAATTGAATTTGTCCGTCGCGGTGGGAGTACAGTCCCTTGTCCCTGTCCGGCGTAATTTTCCCGGCAGCCGAGTGGCCGAGTCGTCAGAGGCAACCCGCAGACCAGGGTAGCCACACTAAACTATGGTACTTGTCTCAAGTAAATTAATCCCTCTCGCTGGGTTCTCTTGGACACACTCCTCATTTGGTCTCTCTAGAGAGAATTTTCATCGTACTTGTTACAACCCAATAGTTCTGGCCAGTGATCTCTCTCGGCCGTAAATTTAATTTCCTTTAAATTTAAATACAGTACTTTTTCTCTGGAACGAGAACTTAAGGGATCGGCCAATTTCCTCGATATAGAGAAATTTACGTTATAACGATAGTCGATATTTAATACTAGGGGGCTACGCCCCCTGGCCGCTATGCGGCCCAACCCCCTGAGGACGCTTCGCGTTCTCTTGGGCCCGCGTCGACAAAAGAACGACCAAAAAAATGAAAAGATCTTCATAACCGGAGAGGGGGGAGGGGTGGAGAGGAGAGAGAGAGGAGAGAGGGGGAGAGGGGGAGAGGGGGAAGAGGGGGAAGAGGGGGAAGAGGGGGAAGAGGGGGGAGAGTTCGGACACTGGGTCCCGTGTATAGACCCCTAGGATTAAAAAAAAAAAAAGAATAAATAAAATTAAAAAAAGAAAAACTCCGGGTGAAAGAGGGTCGTTACCAACTTTTGACGTGTATGACATGTTGCACACGTCACCAACCGTACCAAAGTAAAAGTTCAGGCTGAAAACATTCGTTTCAATGTAATACATAAACTCGGCTTCAAACTTAAATAAGCGTAACTTTGTAAGTAGAGTGATGATTCTGGTAATAAAAACAAATAAAACCTCATTTTCTACACCGTTGGATCATCTGCATGCAACGTTTGCCATTATTTATCTCGTGCAAGCATAAAACCTGATGGCTGAGCCAATTAAATGAGGCTCCTCTAAAGGTCATTGTCTCCCCAAGACTTGCGCAATCTAATCGAAAATTATTATGAAGACTTTTGCTTCTCTATTTTTAAATGGGGATTATTTATTAACACTTGATTCTCCCAAGCTAGTAGTCTATCCATGGAACTTAATGATATTCTAGACATGTAAATACCCTGATGTCCAAAAAATTCACTCTTCATGAGCATGCAAAGTATTTGCGCAATAATTTCCTCCAAAGCTTGTGCCCAAACTGGAGCTGAGCTAAGTCAAGTCTTCAGAACATTCAAAAATACAAAGAATGATTGCGGATGACAAAAAACACATACATAAGAAGATGCATATCACAGAGCTAAATACATAGATCAGACATTATCCATAAAATCGTGTCAAATCATCACATGTTTTATGTTATGTAAGGCATACAAATGAACGGATCTGAAGCAACTATCAGTAATAAGGCACCAGTTTATGTGCAATCAATTAATTAGTCAAACATGCATGAGACTTCCATGAGATGCAAAAATCCAACGAGAAACTAACACGGTATTCGCATCATTTTTGAAAGCTAGATGAATGCTTCAAAAATGCAAATGATATTATTATCATCAGGCTTCAAAAGAAAGTCAAGCTTAAGTTCTTTTCATGGATCCAGTTTCAATCCTTAGATTATAGACAGGAATCTGACTTTTCCGTCAGTTAAGCTTTAGCAATAAGCATAAAACGTCCGAGTAAATCGTGCTACAAGTATATTCCGCAGAACCTTTTTTACGGATACGGATACGGATAAGGAATACTTTACAATCTGCCATCGTGGCTCAAAGGTAATCCAATTTCCACTCCCGGGCACTATAGAGGAAACTGCAACGCGTTTTACAACGAGCCCAACAGGTCGCAGCACCGACGACATTGCCAGGTGTGGACGATAAAATGACCTTTGGCTTGTTAGTGAAACTGCCCAAGTATGAAACTAATCTAACTCTGACAACTCTGAGCACTACTGTGATGCTCTTTTTCACGTGACTCCCGGCAAATTGACTCTGAACCCTGTGTAAAGTGAACAGACATCGGAATGCTGAAAGTCGCACTGTTTTTGTTACAGGAAGCTCAAACGATTAAATTTGGGTGGTAATGAACTCACGAGAATACCAACGGAAGCACTATCCATCCTTGACAATCTGAGGAAGCTAGAAATGCAAGAAAACCGCATCACGGAAATCTCGGAGGGAGATTTTGCAGGTGAGAAATCGTTGATCGTCACTCAAGTAAAATTTTTGGGCTGATGGGAAATTTTAGCTGATCAAACTCATTATGGGAGTTACTGTCCAAAGAGTAATGAACATATATTGCGGGAAATGTCAGTGGCGTGACGTGAATTGCGATGTATCGATTGTTATGTCATTTAAAACTAAGGTAAAGAATCGATTATTAAGGTATTCGCTGCGAACACCCTGTGTATCGATCCTTTTCTATAGTTTTAAATAACATAACGATCGATATATCGCAAAGCACGCCACGCCACTGGAAAATGTAAGACATTTTCTCCTCGTGACGTTTTCACGGGATTTGTCCCAAGTTTGAATCGCAGGAATGAAACTTCTTGAATTTTTGTGGTCAGTTACTAGGACCAAACTTGCTACTGGGAAAAATATTGATTAACTCGACTTTTTTCCCGACCTCATAATTATGGGATTTTTCCCTGGAACAAATCCCATGAAACGGCCCGTGGATATAAGGCCAAACAGAATGGTCAAGTTTGCGGAGATATCCGTATTTAAAGTAGTAATGTCCCGCGCAATAGTAAAAATGCTGGCTTTGCGCCTTCATTTGTCCGTATATACTGCACCAGCTTTGTAACGTTAAAATAGTCATGTATCCGAAAGTTTCCGGCGTATTCTTTAAGAAAGCCTCCAAGCGCTGTTTTTTTAAGGTATCCAGGTATAACTTGATAAAGTGAAATGAATTATAACTTGAATGCACAGAAACCATTTGATAATGGCAAATTGGGTAGTTTGCTTTCAATGAATGGATATTAACACAACTTAGAGAAGTATTCATATCTTGTAGAAGTTGCAGCACGAACGCAGCTAACTCATCCCAAATTAATTTTAATGCCCTGCAATTTCGCATCGGACCACGCAACCTTATAAATAAAGGCGCACGTAAACTGCTAAGAGGATGCAAATGTCATACTATTAGTTCTACTAAAGAACAAAAGTGATAAGGCATTCAGCTATTTAACCAAAATGAGATAATTGACTCTTCAGAAACTGGGCAGGATAAGCAGAAAAATAGCGATGAGCTCAGATCGCGATAAAACTTGTCTCACCGTAATGACCGCTCATTATTAAATATGATTGCATTAGCACCGCTGAGGGTACTATCAACGAGTTGGGGAAATTGCACGGAGGGGCGCCATTATGAGCCTGAGTTGCCACTTCGATATTAATTTCACACAATATCCGTACCAAAATTAAACAGCATTTTCGAATTTCATGTATTTTTAGTAACTGTATTCGGTACTTGTAGTTACTAATTGTAATTCGAAATACCAATGACTGTTTGCGTGCTCGTGTCAGGTTTAATAACCAAATTTCTTACTGTTATAATGAGATAAAAAAGGGAGAGGGAGAAAAAATGGAAACTTTAGCCATTCTTTTTCAAAACCCAAATTCTAGATTTACTGACTAGTTTTTTTGTGATTGTAAGCAAGGAATTAGCAATCGCCGATGAATTGCAATCGATTTGTAATAAATAAAAAATATAATTTTTTAGAAGTGAAGCAACTAGATAGAAAGTACTAATATTATCCTCGAGATTCGAACAAATGTTTTCTCCTCTCGAATGCATGTTACCAGCCGGCACACTAGTGAGTGCAAGTAGTAAAATTGATAACCCTAGTTGGGTTTGGTTCGGATAGGCAACTAAACTAACTCTCTGGCAAAGCGGAGAGTATCACTAGATTTGAAGGCGCTCCAAGTTGAGGTCGCGTTTTGGAAGTTCTTTACCGATGAAGCCCTAATTATGACAATATGCATTGTTGCAATTTGACTAGTTGGGGATAAATGGAGGAAAAAACTGTTTTCGTCGTCGCGATGAATTCGATTTTCTATTGCGCAACACAGTAAAACAAAACCTGAATGGTAATATCTAGATGAAAACTTAAATTCCCGTCATTTTACGATATAGCGTAATGCAAAAATTCTGGCATGATAGCGAATTGAACAGTAAGTGCAAAAATAAAGTTTTGAGAAAACGGGCTTAGAAACGCCTGACCGGAAAATTTGATTGCAAGAAGCCTCCGCTCCGTTCTTTGTCAAATTGCCACCAATCATCCGAAAAACTCTTAGAAATTGTTTGGATGACTAAAAATCGATCGATTTGATGTCAACTACTTTAAAAAGGTATTTTTTTTTACTTATTTTCGTGTTAGGCAATAAGACAGCCGTTAAGGTCATCTTCTACATGTTTGCGTGGTTGAGTTTTGAATACACAACAAACACATTTTCAGGTTAAAATTTGGCAGAAAAGGGCGGCAGTTAAGATGGGAGCAAAGTTTTTATTGGCTCTCTGGAGGAGTAATGCCACTTACGGCTGTTATCCCTGAAACACGTCATTTTTTGCGCACTTGCGGCTGTCTCATATGTCTAGTTTTTATATATTAAGATGAATTTTGCTGTTTTAGGTATCTCAGTGCTTTCACCTAACAGAGATTAGACAAATTTTGAAGGAAACTCGATTTAGAAAATTTGACCATTCGCTATCACGGCAAAATTAATTTTCGTTTTTCTATGTTAGATTGCACTTAAACTTAATATGATCGCAGCTCACACGACAACCCCGCCATGATTCCCCTCTCTCAGCCTCGTGCTGGACGGTGAAATTGTTTTTTCGCCTCACGAGCCGGAGCCGTGGCTGCGCACCCGTCTGTTTTTTAAACCCGAGTAAGGGAGACGTTGAGTAAATATGTTGCCCCGCACAATTTGCCGGGAGCTTAACCCCTTTCCCATTCTCTCCGCGTCTGCGTTTACATTCTCCCTCGCCCCCGCCCCACCCCCTGCAACAAGGGGAACGAGGTGGATTTTAAAATGTAGTTAAGGCTCATGATGATAAAAGGTCTCATACAGTGTGTACTGGGTGATTGAGCTGCCATGATGAGACCCAACCTACCGTTAGCGTTTTAAGCGGTAGGAAATTGATTACTTCTGAAGCGAAGAACGAAGTCATTTTTGAGAATTAAATAGAATGATTCGAAGCAAATTCATCCATGCAGTTGTAACAGGCATTTTGTCGTGGCGATGGTGTGTTCAGTCATGTGTAAGATCTGTACTGAGAAAAAGTTTCCAGTTAATCGTTTCTGGACTAGAATTGTCTTTGAATCGAGTCACTCTTTTATAATTGCGTACTTAATTGTGCAATTCAAAACCACAATTTTTGGCTCATCTGTGAAAAAACGTAAATGTGCATAGGGATTCTAATGTTACAAACGTGATTTTTAAACGTAGCCAGACTTGATGGTTCCGATTTGCAGAATTTAGTCCAATAATTGATTTGATGTCTTTGAAATAACAGAAATACCATATGAAACAAGGAGTTTTCCTGTTGTCTCAAAGAGCACTCTCGTCCGAGGATTATATTCTGGAATTTCTACTAATTTTCTGAACTTTTTCCTCCATGCAGTTATTCTAATGATAAATAATCTAGGCGCTCATCCAAACACAAATTATACCCTGCGACCATAATATTGTAACTATATTTCGACACGACAAGACTATACAAACATGGCCCTATCTTAAAGTTGCAGTACATCACCCGTTTGCAGTCCAATCGGGCTGTTTTAAAGTTTCAAATAAATTATCGACCTGTTGAAGCACTATGGCGTCTGGCGTCTGCTGAAATACTACCTGAATGCAAACATTGCAGGAGCATTCATTTTTTACGAGCATCAAATGTTCGTCAATGCTGCAAGTGTTAACCAGAGGCAATAAATCAGGAACCCGCACTGACAATCTGAGCAATGTAATCGGATGAGACAAGAAAAAAATTCGGAGATGAGGGCTATTTTCTGCGTAAATCTGAGCGTTGACTTACGAAAATTTTACTTAAAAGAGAAGATGACAGTGCAAGGTCTTCAAGATATATTTTTCCTGGTACTAACGGATCAATTCCTGATTATTCTAGAGCAGTTCGCACTGTAAAAGTCATTTATGCGATGGCTTTTTTCTTCATTTTGAGAGCACACAGTCAGTAAATTTTGATGTGACACAGGACTGCGATAGAATGAAAAACGGGGCTAAATAAAGTCGCTGGGAGGACAGAAATGACTGCGACGGGCATGGGGTTCCGGAGGGAGGAGGGAGCTGAGAGGGAGGTAGAGAATCATTGAGTTACGGCCGATTGATGCTTCAAAGCCCTATTCAGGGACAATCATACTTTTGAGTTGTCAAGTATGTGACTCACGAGTTTCCCTCCTCCGCGAAACAAAGACGAGGCAGACAGTCGCGCCGCGGCGCCGGCGTCTCCTCGACCTTCGAAATTGAGTTACCTTCTCTCTTCACTCCACGATTCTCACGTCACTTCCTGGGCATCTTCCGTCTTCATAAGGATTTTCGCTCGCAGAAAAATTCTTGCGCACCCCTCAGATGCCAGGCTGTCATGAAATTATATTATTATTTTTTTGCCGATTTTTACTTCTTTTTGTCACACTGGAAGGCCCTTGTTGCGGTTAGGACAATTTGCTGAACGTGGCAAATAAAAAAAAAAAAAAAATCGTTGAACCTTCTCACACATACCGCGTCCACAGTAAAAACGCCGTTACTTCATCTAAAATTTTTTTTTAAAAAAAAAAATCGGGAAAATGCTGTTTCACAAGAAAACCAACGAAAAATCATGCCTAATTTTTTAGTCAGCTCTTGCATGTTGTCAGGAGCTCAACATGAAAAAATGACGCCTTGTGGTCATTAGGTTTTGTTTTATAATAGAGCAGTATTTGTTGAAGAAAAATATAGAATTGTGAATGGAATTACGGCGTTTTTGCTGTGAATGTCACTCCAGTTCTTTGTCCTCGAGGTGCGTGTTCTCTAGTTGTTCGAAAAAAATTGAGGGAATAGAAGAGTAGTAGTTCGTAAAAATGATTTCTACTTGATGGTAAATTTGTAATCTTAAGTCGTGAAGGTTGTTATAACTATCAGGCTTAGTATACATATTGAATTAAACTGAAAATAGGTCGTTAAGAAAAGACAGGAGGCATCCTCGTTATTATTTCCACGGAAATTACAACAATGCCGTATAGAACTAGTATATCACTGACCAAAAATATTATTAGATACGACTTTGACTGGAAAAAAAGTAAGTTTACCTTATAATCAACTGTAAGGAGTATTTGGGCCACGACCACATTTTGCAATAAGAAACTGCAATAACTGGCTCATCTGTGAAACACATTTCTGCATAGGAAAACGAGTGGCACGTACCATGTTTCTGAAATGAGACTGAAATTGTAGTTCCTTATTGTAAAATGTAGTTCATTTACAAATGACAGTTACTGGTGGATTTCTCTTTGATCATTGTATCCTCAAAGAAGAAAATCTCAGAGATGACAAATTTCGGGCTCCTTTTGGTTCTCAAGGGTGTGTTCGAACCAGAAAACAGTTTTGTTGCTGGACCTCTATTGTGAGCCACTCAAGAACTTCGATCCAGATTCTAAACGATTTTGACAATATTCACTGAAAAAAAAATCTCGGTGTATTTACTGAGAAAAGGGTAAAATTACCAAGAATTCAGGGTTCTATTTGATCCCAGTTTTTTCTTGGTAAAATTACCATTTATGGAATTCGTAATTTTACCAAGAAATCTCGGTAAAATTATTGAACTTTCTCGGTAATTTTACTGGATCTTGGTAAAAACGCCAATATTTTTTATCGACTGTGGTAGAATTACCGAGATAAAATGGCAAAGTTACCGGGAATTGATTACCAAAAAAAGTGGTATTCTTACCTGAAAAAAAAGTAAAAATACCGGTTTTTAGGTAAGCTTACCAGTGTTTCTTGATAAAATTACCAATAATTGGTAAAAAAGTGAGATGGTAAAGGTACCAACGGACTCTGCCCTGGTAAAAACGCCGAGAATTTTTTTTAGTGTCCGGTATCGTTTGAGGTTGAATCAGTCTTGACCTGACAACGCTGTTCTTCGGCGACTCTGCCGTGCCCCACTGCGAACGACATTCAATAACGAATCATACTTTAATAATTCACTTTCCAACTTTGACCTCTCCCGAGGGCTGTAAAATCCTAGACTAGCAACGCTTTGAGTGTGACGATGAAAATTCCTCACGAACTAGTTCTTCTCTAATTGGATCGCTCTCGCACGTACAATGGTAGAAGTACCAAGCTCCTCAAAAATCGTGTCAGTTGGACTATTTCTGCTAAACGGAACTAAGCGCCGATTTGAGTTCCTTTTGAAGATTTTAGAGTCCCGGGTAGCGCGTTCGGTCAAACGGAACTAAGTGCCATGGAGAAGCATAATGAGCATAGGACGGAATGAGCTCGACGCTCGGCTGCACCTGTCAATTCTACCCGGATTCTGCTTCTTCCCCCTATTGCGCTTAGTTCCGTTTAACTAAAATACGGCCAGTTTGTTGTAGATCTAAGGACACATGAAGGAGAAATATGTAAACTTGAGGATGTGTTTCCATATGAAGGCAGCAGTTGGTGGGGTTCAAAATAAAAACCTCTGTAAGACCTTACACAAAGCGAACAGATGAAATTTACCTCTGAAATGATTTAAACATTACTTAAATAGGATGCTCTAATCTAGTCATTTCGACTTAAGATTCAAAAAGTTGTTATTCAACTTTCCACAAAATTTTCTTCCTTTTTTCTCTTTTTTGCTTAGTGTGAAGTCTCGCGTTATCCTAGTAACAAAACTCCCAGAACCAAGTTCTAGCAAATTTTATTTACTAATCCAATCAAATACAATTTTGGATTGACCATCGTCGAGTTTCAAAATAAGGGTAAAAGTAGAGTACAAGATGTACCTGAGACGGTTTAGGAACGGTGGGAAAGGAGATGGAAAATTGGGTGCCGTAAATAAATGCACTTTACTCCATTCCGCCATGAAAACTTGGGACATCCTCCCAAAAAAGCGACGGGAGAGAAATTTGGTGTCAGATTGTGAAAAATTTACTCCTTGCGGCACTATACCTTATCGAAGAGATTGGTACCGTTAGCGAAAATTTGGCAACGTGGGAACCACCCGAGACGCCGAAAAAACACCGGCGAAGAATACGGGAGGGGGGGTACACAAAAGGGCGCGAAAGCTGACACACTTTTTAATAAAAACGCAAACAACACTTGAGTCCGGCCGACAATAACTCATGGGCACATTAGCCGAACGGCATTTAAAATTAAACATTCTCCCTAGCTCTGTGCCGTAAACCTAGTAAACCAGGCAACACTGCGCGGACTCCACGAAGAGGTGTTCGAGCGACGTTGTTCGATCGCACGTTGAAATCCGCCGGAATAAATTGCGGAGGCGACAGGAAATCGGTAATTTTCCTCCCCGGTCGGCAACTTTAAGGGTTGAAAAATGGATCGGTGTCCGGGTATATCAACCAGACGCACACAATACGGAGTCCCCGAGGTGTGACTGAAATTGAATTTCCCGGATTGAACTTGATACCGAGTGTTCCCGCTTTCCGTCGGCCAACTCCTTTGAAACACGAGAAATGTTTCGCGTCGCGGGTCAAAGCTTGGTACGGCGGACCCGGACATTTTTATTTTCTTCCGCACGTTGTGCTGCAACGATAAAAATAATGGTGCGATTTCTAGAGAAAACTCCCCCCCCCACACACACACTAAAAAGTTTCCAGGAAAAAGAGGAAGAGGGAGGAGAAGGGGTAAAAGGGGTAAAAGGGGGAAAATAGGGGAAAAAGGGGGTAAAAGGAGGAAAGGGGAGAAAAAGGGAGAAAAGGGAGAAAAAGGAGACAGGGGGAGAAATATAGAGATAAAGAGAGAAGAGCGGAGTGAGTAGACGAAAAATGGGTAAAAAGGGAAGATTTGGGAGAGAAAAGAAGATAAAAGAATGAAAAAAGGAGAGAGGCAGAGGGAAACAATAAATGGGAGATATGCAAGGAGAAAAAAGAGTAAAAGATTGAAAAAATAAGAGAAGAATCAGACAAGAGGGGAAAAGAGAGAAAAATATGGAAACTATGGAAATAAATCGAAATGAAAAACTAATCAAAGAAAAAGCAGGAATAAAGCTCTTCAGAAAGTAAAAGGAAATTACGCGCTGTGATGACGGCGCAGAGATACAACTATTCGTGCGTAAAGGATGTCCGTAATGCGTCTGTCGAATTGAAGGCGCTATGGCGCTCGCGATGTTCCGCTCTACGTTAGACCTTGAAAGTGTATGCTCTCGTGGCAACAAACTCATTGATTCCTGGCAAGGATTACTTTTCCCATGGCGGACTAAACTTTGTACCAATTGGCATTTCTTTTTTTATAACCCCTGTTAGCGAATTACTTTTATCTTCAACTAATTGAGGAGAAAGTAATTCCCTAAAATAGCTACGTTGAATAGGATTAAAAACTCATCCAATAAATTATCATCAAAAGAATACCATCACGTCGAATCGAATTCTCCCCGAATTTTGTATGAAAAAAAATAAGAAAAAAGAAAAAAAAATGAATTCCATCAAATACGAGTCCCGCAGCGCAAGTCAGATTCTGACAAGTGCAAGTAGCTAAATTAATATCTCATCGGGAAAATTTAATCAAAAGGCCATCCCTTGAATAAAAGACTACGAGTGTTGATGTCTATTTCTTAATTAGATCACAGATTCTAATACGCATTTATCAAAGGCGTGGCCTTACAATTTTAAACGCATTAACCCCCTCTCTTCCGTTCCATTTACATGCGGTCGCATTTCCTACCCTCTCAAGTTACCCACCCTTTCCATACCTGCCAAATCGATATCGGTTTTTTCGGCGATATGCGAATAAAGATAGAAGTCACCTTAAATATGATTTAGACAGGAAAAAAATGCCGTACCGAAGTTTTCAATACACACATTTTTCACCATATATTACGGTGAGGATCAACGCATGTTCATTTAATGGAAAACATGTCACTTTATTTGTCAGTATAATTTCGTCCCCGTGGTTTTTTCCGTATTTATGAACGCCTAAACCTACCTGAAGGATTAAATACCTGTAGAAGAATGCAGACTTGTTGATTTTTCAGAACCGTACACTTGACTGGGCGTATACGATCTGAAACGTTACTTTACTAGGCGCACGCTTGATTTATCTACATAGTATGTATGTTGTACAATTTCCAATGAGTGTGGTTGCAGTAATTAGAGATGGATGGTTTTTTTTTTCTTTTTTTGCTGCGATACTTTAAAAATTACTGTTATCTATTGCACTCATTTTTACTTACTTATTTTTATTTTTTAAAAGTAAATTCTCCTGTTTTCTCTCATTGCTGTAAGTAACGTCTGCAAATGTAACAGCAAATCAGCTCAACATATTTTTATTACGAATAAATGTTGACTACAAACATCATTAAACCTAGTGTCGTTCACATGATTCTTCACCAAATCTTCCAAAGACATTATCAAATTATCAAATTTTACAGGGTTGCGGAATTTGGACTCTCTCGGTCTAGCACATAATCAGCTGAAAGAGGTGCCGGCGAACGTTTTTTCGCATATTTCGCTGCTCAACTCTTTGGAGCTGGATGGTAACCAGATAGTTCGAATTGATGAGAACGCTTTTGCCGGTCTAGAAGGTAAGCATATCGCTTTAAGTCGACAAGTTAACCTTACCTTCAATATTTATAAGACTCAGCATTTTCATATAGCCTCTGTTAATTTTTTTAATTTAAATGCAAGTTTAATTGACTGATAATTCAGATAACTACATATTTAAATTTTTATCATATCTCAGAGACATATAGAAGACATATTTTATCGAGCAGAATATCTGCCTTTTCATTTTTTAAGCGCTCAGCCGATAGGCAGCGCTTTTTGATTTCGACTTGCCTCTAGAGTACTGGTTACTAGTGCTAATTCGTTTAAATGGCGCACCAGCTCATCGATGTGTAGGCTTTTTTTTTGGGGGGGGGGTCCATTTTTAAAATAAATAAAGCTGTGAAAACTGTATTTTATGCTTTTAACGTAATGCGCAGGTAGTTTCGATCGTTATTGTCTAAAAGAAAATTTCTTAGCGGTAGAGTAATTCTTATCGAAATTGATCGTTGAACTTAAATGAAGCCTAAAAAAACGCGCCTGATGAGCTCAACGGTGACTATCATTTTCGGGAAACGAAAAAACGCGTTTACGGTTTCCTTGGTAACCTTTGTTTGCTATCAGCTGATGTTTTATTTCCATTTCCCAGCCAAGTCGACGGAGTTTATACTTCCTTTCTTCACTAAATACATTGACTAACACCTGAGCGCTTATCTAATACGACAGTATTAGAACTTTCCCGCTTGTTTCTACATTGATAAAGCTCAAAATACTGTGGAGAGGAAAGAGATTGAAATATAATTTTAACCATTTCCTCTTCATTTGATGATAAAGGAAAAATGAGCTTGCACTTGCTGCGGTTGTGATAATTTATCAATTTAATGTTCCTTATTGTTTTACTTTGTGACGGGTATAGGCAATATTAGCTTGAGTGAGTAATGCAGATTACTGGAAGTTAAAATTTAACGAGGTCAAAATATTTCATCGATGAGAAGAGAGTATTTGAGAAAAAACATCCCTGAGGATCGTTAATATTTTCCTACGTCGTAATTTTTTTCGATTTTTAATTCGATGAGAACAATTTTCTTGCGTCGGATAATCCGCACTGAAAACTTATTGCACTACTTTTCGGCTTCACAAATTCAGATGTTCATTCAAAACAACTCATTGAAAATGTGCCGGTAAAAATATACTGAATATATGTCTCTGTTCCCCAGGGCTAAATGGGTCCAACAGTTATTATTACATCAGAAAATTAGAAGACAGATTTGAAACTTCCAGACAGACCAGCAGAAAATCGTCTTGTCGTGACTTGCAAAATGTTCTCGAAGTTGCCATGGTATTCGACGAACATTTAATAATTTGTCGAGAAAGGAGTTAAAATAGAGTTAGAGCTCTGTGATGGGAAGGATGCGGATCAACAGAATCCCGCGCCTTTTCCGGGAAAAAGAGAAAAGTTTCGAAGCAACAGCGAAACTGCAATTTCAGAGTAAACGGGCTGAGCATAAATTTCAAGCTGAGGTTGAGTGATGCAGCGAGCCACGACATTCTTCGCCCCCGAGCACATTTTTCAAGCTTCTTGCAAACCGAGAACGAACTTCGGGTCTCAGAATATCTGACATCCGAAACCGCGGTCTGAAATGGTCGCGTCGGGGGAGCCTCAAACCGCACCTCTAGCTACTTGCTCGCTGAATGCGAAAGCGAAACGACCCCATCGCGATTAAAATCAGATCACTGCCATAGTGGCAATTCTTGGGAGTTGGAAACATTAACTTCCTCCATTTAAAACAATTCAGTACCCCAGAGCTAAAAGGTACCTGACTCACCTCTTTGAAAAAATCATGTTATGTCGCAATCACACAATGAATGTGGGAACTGAGTGAGGCTTAAATGTGGAAGTCATCGGCCCGATGCCTGAATTTTGCGCCTGTCGCGCAAAATTCAGAAACGATTCTCAGCGACTATCGGATTATGTCGGATTTGTCTGAACTATTCAAATAGACTGGATACACATCTGGATGAAAATAGCTCGAATTTGCGAAGTTTCAGTTGTTGAGCGCTGACTGTTAACTTCCATATTCAGTTGCCACATTCAGCGTGTGATTCCGTCATAAGTGTCGTTCTGGAAATTTCCGATAACGGTTCCTCGTGAGTGCAAAATGTGGTAGCACTATCTTACGCCGCGCCGGTCATGAGATACAGAATTTCCAAAATCGCGATTTACATTGGAATCGATGGGGCCGACGCATGGTTTTTCCCTGAAACTTCTGAATGACTAAAATGGAGAGTTTAGACTGATTGCGAGACTAGAAGAAACATCGGTAAAATAGAGATGTTGCAGGTGTGAGGAATTTGCGATTTGACTTCTGATTCTCATGTAAAAGTTCTCGAAAAATACGATGGTGCCACTGGTTTTCTCTGAAATTAACTCCCAAGCTCAAAAAAAGCTCTCAATTTGAGGCTAAAATGGAGGGGATATCCCACGCTATCCTGAGAGTTCACCTCTACATCAAGAATTCAAGACAAACTCTCCACGCAAAGATAGGGAGCAAATACATTAGTAGGGTTGCCGTGTTTTCAGTTGTAGAGTCCCCAAATAAAGTGGCAGCCCTGTCAATGTATTTGCTCCCTATTTTTGCATAGAGAGTTTGTTTTCATGTAGAAGTGGACTCTCAGAATAGCGTAGGATATCCCCTCAATTTTGACCTCAACTTGAGAGCTTTTTTCGAGCTTGGGAGTTAATTTCAGAGAAAACCAGTGGCACCATCGTGTTTCTCGCGAACTTTTATACAAGAATCAATAATCAGATCGCAAATTCCTTACACATGCAACATCTACATTGTCAGTTAGCCAAAGAGTAGTAAACATGCGATTTGAGAGAAAAAATCTGACAACATTGTAATGAAGTTACATTCGTTCGTGAGGTAACGACGGATCATCAAACTGGACTTCGTTTGTTAAACAGCAGCCTGACTGTTGAAATCGTGTATTTGTCGGGTCTACATAGATGACATAGGTTAAAGGCGAAGTGTAATTGGTCGGCTATGTCTTATCGCTGCTGTGTACCGTGCCTATGTCGAGTGGAACTCACGACAAGCTAAAGGCACCTCTTAAGTTTCCGATAGCATGTCGTCCATTCCCCTGACAAAAGCACGAGAAAGCCGCTCCGCCTTTTAACCTATATCATCTATGTCTACCCGACAAACACAAAATATCAACAATCAGGCTGCAGGTTACGAAACGTAGGCGTCCTGACTCAAAGATGTCGATCTTGCGGCCTCCATAAAATGACGTGAGCCAGAGGCCAGTGATTGCAATGGGGATACTGCAAGTGTAAGGAATTTGCGATTTGACTGTTGATTCTTATGTAAAAGTTCGCCAGAAACACGATGGTGCTCCTAGTTTTCTGTGAAATTAACCCCTAAGCTCAAAAAAAACCCTAAAGTTGAGGCCAAAATGGAGGGGATATCCCACCCTACCCTGAGAGTCCACGTCTACATCAAGACAAACTCTCCATGCAAAGATAGGGAGCAAATACATTAGCAGGGTTGCCGTGTTTTCAGTTTTGGAGTCCCTAAATAAAGTGGCAGCCCTGTTAATGTATTTGCTCTCTATCTTTGCATGGAGTGTTTGTCTTGATGTAGACGTGGACTTTCAGGGTAGGGTGGGATATCCGCTCCATTTTGGCCTCAACTTGAGAGCTTTTTTGTGAGCTTATGAGTTAATTTCAGAGAAAACCAGTGGCACCATCGTGTTTCTCGCGAACTTTTACACAAGAATTAGTAGTCAAATCGCAAATTCCTCACACATGCAACATCTCCATTTTCTGCCTAGGTCAAGCTATCCTGAAACTTTTAGACTCCCTTCCATGACCCCTTCCCCCTCCCCTCCGTCATCAAAATCAATCAACCTAATTAGTGCTCTGATCTGACTCGCCCTAATAATCGGGTTTGCTCCCGTCTGCGTCACAAAGGCCGAACATTTCGCCTCCTCCCAGTCTCGACTCGCCGTAAAAAACCGCGCATGAATACGGGATACCCTTTCGCGGTACGACGTTCCAGCGAGGTTAGCTCCCGAAGTTCCGTCGAAAAAAAGCTCCGAAGTGTAATTAGATTAAACGGCAAGGGCCGTCACTCTGAGCAACGCAACGCGATGGGGACGCCTGGACATGATCCCGGAGGAGGGTGAGGAAAGTAGGAGCGGGAGGGAGGGTGATTGAATGGATGAGAAGGGGGAAGGAGGGGGAGGGAGGCGTTAAAAAGAGACTGGACATAATTAAGCTGGAGGCTAATGAGAAACCCAATTAAAGCGACGGGAGGGCGAGAAAAGAGCGGGTAGGCGAGGAAGTATCACCATCACCGAGAAAGCGAGTATCAAAAAGCATGTCGGACAAGCCTCGAAGAGCAGAAATCTGTCACATGCTGACAATCAAATGGCTCAAATTTCGGGAAAGAAGTAGGGCTGGATTCACCTACATGCCGCTCATGGGCCGCCTATATTTTTCCGCCCCCTTCTTATCCGTTTTGAAACTCGATAAAAACCATCAAATGAACGTGCCAGCGAAGGAGGGGTGCATAAGACGCATTCACTCGTGTTGAAAACTTTTTTTGGGAAAGCCCTGTTAACGCTACTAGCAGAAGTTCACGAAAATTTGCGCAAAAGTTAAGTTCCATAAACCTATCTCTGTGTGGACAAGGCCTTCCATTCATGAGAGATGAACGAAAAAATTATGAAAGAACAAACATAAATGTGGTTCAATGATTTTAACTTCCGCTGCCGCGCCGCGCAGACCGCACCGTGTTGGACGCAATGCGTGAAGTATCCACGCAGTCTTGTAGGCGCTATGCGTTTCTCGCTGACCGCACTGTGTTTGGCGTAATGCGTGAAGTATTCATGCATTCTTGTAGGCGCTATCCGTTTCCCGCTGACCGCAATGACCGCACTGTGTTTGATGCAATGCGTGAAGTATTCGTGCAGTCTTGTAGGCGCTAATGTGTTACATGCCGTTCGCCGCGCCGAGGACTTCTCCTTTTCATCTCAAGTCCTCGTTATCATTTCTCTCTAAGTCGCGCCATTCTAGGCCAAATTGCATGTTTGCTTTCTCTCGTAACTAGACTTTTTGAGGGTGCTGTCTCTTGTATCACAAGAGACGACAAAATTAGAGATTACTATACTCTCAGGAGATGAGAGATTTTGTCACCTTTTCTCGTTTGTAATTTTGTTTTTATAAATCCGATTTTTTTTATGCGTACACTTTAAAAATTGCAAATTTTTGCCGCCCCTTAAATTTGCCGCCATGGGCCGCGGCCCATGTGGCCACCCCCTTAATCCGGCCCTGGAAAGAAGCATGCTAGATTGTCCACCTCTCACTTATTTGTATCTTTCATTGTTGTGAGTTTGGGATTTTTAGAGGATACCAAGCTTATTTTATTCAGGAGGAAAGAGATGACCTGTAAGCGGAACATCAATCTGCGTAGTAGCCAGAGAGAGGAGACCCTCCACTCGTATCTCGGTTACAGTGGAAGCTTTTATTTTCGGGACTTCAAAATTAAACTGATACTTACCTACATGATTGATGTTCAACAACGTGTTGGCAGCTTTGTTTTGCAAATGAGCCGAAGTTAGGGAAACTTGTTTGGCTCATGACGTCACCCGAAGCTCATCATCCACCATGTAGGTAGGTCAACAGCCGAAAAAAGAGTGACGACTGTTGCTCCCTTATAAATATCCATAATTAGGTATTGAAACCCCGAAAGTAAAAGCTTCCGTCTGTCGTCAAGAGGCCAGTGACGGGTCTCTTGTCTCTGGTAGTAGCATGGCGTGAAATTCTTCGTTGGAACGGTTAAAGGTTAAAACTTTCTCATGATGGGGGGGGGAGAGAGAAGATCTGTGTGTAAATAGATCAAACATGAAATATGAATTGATTCGGGGGAAACTTTTCGGGTATGCAGAGAAGGAGGGAGGGGGTTACAAGGGGCTCTCTGGCCGCGCCACTTTGTAATTATCCATTTGCTGTAATCTAGCCTTATCGCTACGACTTACTAAACTTCCTTGAGAATCATGTCTGGTCAGTGAGTGTTCGATGATAGTATACTCTTCTTCGCCTCTTGAGCATGTTTTCATTGACGGATCCAGCAAATTGGCAAAATTGTTTTTCTCCATTTATACCTATGGAGATATAGCGATTCTTGAAGGGGCCAGGTGCCCCGACAAAAATTGATTATTCAACATAAGTTTATATGGAGGGAATCTGATTTTGTCAAATTGCTAGATACGCCTCTGCATGCTTTCGGCGATTTCCAATGATTTCCTCTTCCTTTTTGTACAATATGCATTCAAATTTTAAATGATATCCACGTATTTATGTTTGTAACAGAGAACCTGCAGTATCTGCGACTAGGCGACAACAACTTGCACTCCATCCCGAGCGACTCGTTGCGACGGTTGCACCGACTGCGTCACTTGGATCTACGAGCCAACAACATCTCGTTTATCCTGGAGGACGCTTTTACCGGTTACGGTGACTCCATCACGTTTTTGAACCTCCAGAAGAACGAGTATGCCATTCTTTCATTATCTTTCCCTTCTTGCAGTCAATTTGGGCACTTGAAAAAAAAAGTAGCTTGGATCTAGAGTCCAGATTCTTTAATACGTTGACAAGACAAAATACTCTTGATTCAATTTGACTTTTGGCTTGAATCAAAAGGAAATCCGCTTACATTAAGAGGCTTGGCTCTTCGATTTAGGGAAAAATCGGATTGAATCAAGAGTATTTTTTCTTGTCATTCTTATTTAGAGTCTGGACTCTAGATCCAAGCACTTTTTTTCAGTGGGGAGAGGAATTCTTTTGAAAATGCGATGTATTCAATTCTCTATGGAATATTGATAAAAATCAATTGTGAGAAATCACGCACAGAAGCGTTCTGGAGCGATTTTCTGCGGGTGGCTTAACACTTTTTCTCCGGAAGGGATTTGAGTCTTTCCGCTCTCAAATGGGCTTCAGGGGGCTTTTTTTTAATACGATGGGGAATTTTAGAAACGTCAAGAAGTTATTCTCACACAAAATTTGGTCGTATGCAAACTTTAGGTTCAACTTTAACAAAAATTCTCCAATAACATATCAGGTTTTTACCTTTTCCCTGCCACATTATTCAATAAAGGAGGAAATGCACGCATTCTAAAACTGTTCCCTACTGTGCAGATTATCNGGGGGGGGGGGGGGGGAGCGCAATTGATACTATTTCAAATTCTTGCGGTTCCAACAGTACCCTATAGTTCATTTGAAGCTACGCCCGTGCAGTAACATTCAAAATCCAGAAGATTGAAGTTTAGTTTGAATGACCACGAAGATTAAATTACAACACAATCCATCCCGAAGGAAAAGAATATTCTTAGTTTTGCTGACTGTGATAGAGACCACCTTCACTCCCAAAGTAGGTACAAACCCATTGACCAGTCGCATGGGCAAAGAAAACTGGCAGTGGTTTTAGACTGCCTCGTAATCAGGACCTAGGGTCAATAATTCTCCCCTCTTTCAATGGTGTATGGTGTGAACTCTCCGCTTCTTTTTGATGTCATCGTCAGATTGTTAAAAAATCGCGGATCATGTTACAGCATCAAAACGTTGCCTCCACTGGTGTTCGAGAATCTCAACTCACTGGAGACGCTGAACCTGCAGAACAACAAATTGACCCACGTCCCTGAGGAGGTCACCGAACCGGTTGTCGACACAGTTCGAGTCATCGATATCACCGGTAACCAATTTACCGCCTTTCGGGAAAAATAATATTATTTATAGTCGATTTTATAAATAAACAGACAGGGTTCTTCAATGTGATGGGGGATAGAATCTCCATCTGAACATACTCTTTTTGGAAAGTTATACTGTCATTTACACCATGTAGTCATTGTTTTGGAAATGGGTCTACGTATAAAACCAGACACTTACGAGTTAAACGGAATTAACTTTTACAAAGTGCATGAATATTTACACTCGTGCTTTTTTCCCGGGAGGAATAATCTACGCTTTTCCTAGGTCTCCAAGGTTATCAAACAAGTGAAACATAAAGGAGAGAGCCTTAACATAAACCGTCGAGCGAGACGGGAAAAGGAGAGAGCAGATTCCCCTTGCAACTCGGCTGAGCCTTGGGAAGCGACTTCGCTCCTGCAGGAGATAGTGATGAAAATCCTCATTCAAATGAGATTTGAGGTTTGGGTTTTTCTGGCTAGCTCCCGGCCCGGGCGCAATCTAGAATTCCCGTCACGCAACAGGAGGCTAAAGAAAACAGCGGGGGAGGGCAACCCCTCTCCTCTCTCTGAGGGTTAGGGTAACGAGGCAAGACCGACAAATTCAACACAAACGTCAAATTAGAAGCATTGACGACAAGCACATCACTTAGTCAGACATGCTAACTTAATTATGGATCGAGTCCGTGGATTGGCTGCAGAGCGATGTTGCCCAACTTGTGCTGGAGCAGGCAAAGCATTAGTATAGAGAATCAGCTCCTCGAAAGGGCATGATGCAATGAAACTAAAATGACCCGCATATTGATTTGTGTAGTTTCAAACTTTCTGTCGCATTTTAATGGAATGCAAAATAATAGACTATTTTAACAAATTATTTTGCATGATTAGTATACTTAAAATTCCAAAAGTATTCTTTAAAAATGGCACCCTAAAAATAGAAATTGTAAATTTTGAGACTTTAAACTTTATGCAACATTTTCATACCTTCATTGGCAATTTTTTGTTGAGCATTCGCACAAGAAAATTGAAGCACCTTATAAATGGAAATCTCATGAGATAAACGAACCTTTAAATTTTTTTCTAAACAAAAGCACCAGCGAGAAATCTGCTTAAATTTAAATAAAATTCCATTTTTGGCATAAAAAAAAAAAAACTCACGTGCTGGACTGTATTTGAGCAGAAATGAATCCGAATAGTTTTTAAACTTACTCTCAGCCCTAGAGAGATCTGAAAAGGGAGGATCACTCAGGACGAGGCACGATTGCCAAATTTGACATTTTAAACTGAAAAAGAAATTTCAAACATAAGATGGGATTTTTTTGCAAATTTTGGTAACACTGGTAGTCAACTGCATCTTGCGAGGCCGGTGTTGTCACCTCGTGTTCAGTTATCTGAATTTCAAAATCAGATCATACCCACAGCGCAGAGAATTCTAATTTTTATTTTAATCTTTGCAGCACCGGGTTTAATTCAATCCTGCGGTGGCTAGGAGACTTCGTGAAAAAGGCTCCTCAAATTGAGTGATTAAATATTTACCGACCGAGCGCAGCCACGAGGGCCTATTCAGAGACCGCACGAGAAAAGCTAGGTTGCAAAGTGCAGGAAATAAAAAATCCATCCTCCTTACGATACATTTTCAGGTCAAGAAGATCGAAAACTTCAGTACCACAACAATTTTTAATCATGCAAAATCATGGAATTTGATCAGTTTTATTTTGTGTGTCATTTTCATCGCCCCCTTTTTTATGCAATCCTCCTCCTCGAAACTGAGTCGTTTTTGCATAAAATGATTTAATTTTACCTGTGGCGCAAAGAAATTACTTTTCCAGCCGGAACGAATAATTCCGACGAGAGACTGCCGAGGAAACGGTAACCTTTATCATAGAGAAAGATATGTTTCGTCGCCTTCATTTTCAACAAATTGGCAAAAGCAGCTCCCACGCGATAAAATAGTTGCATCCTTAAGATCGACTTACAGCCTAATATATGGAACAGAATTACTTTTCTAGCCGGAACAAATTATTCCAACGAGAAACTGCCGAGGAGGCTGTAATCTTTATCATAGAGAAAGATATGTTTCTAAGTACGCCTTCATTTTCAACAAGTAGTCAAAAACAGCTCCCACGCGATAAAGTAGTTGCATCCTTAAGATCGACTTACAGCCTAATATATGGAACAGAATTACTTTTCTAACCGGAACGAATTATTCCGACGAGAAACTGCCGAGGAGGCTGTAATCTTTATCATAAAGAAAGATATGTTTCTGGTTTCTAAGTACGCCTTCATTTTCAACAAGTAGTCAAAAACAGCTCCTACACGATAAAGTAGTTGCATCCTTAAGATTGACTCATAGCCTAATATGTATATGTATGTATGTATGTATGCATGTGTATTGTAATGATGCGATACGATAATGTGAGTTTCTGTTGGTGCTGCAGACAACCCCCTGGTGTGTGAGTGCGAGTTGCGGTGGTTCAAGGCATGGCTACGCAACCTGCGGGACAAAGACGACGACGAGATGATGCAGAAGAAAACGACGATATGCACGATGCCCGACCAGCACCGGGAATACAACCTCCTTGACATGCCCATCGAGCGGATGGCCTGCATTGGCAAGAACATGGAACGGACCGGAACCGGACACGCCGCCCCACTCCTCTCATCCGCCTCCCGCCTACAACTCCTCTCCGCCTGCCTCGCCTACTACGCCTGCTGCGCCTAAGTTACACCTCAAGACTCCGCTGTAGAGAACAAATCGGGTACCTAGGATCAAAACCTGTAATCCCCATTGCGTTGCCTAAAAATTTGCCGATCATTCTAATTTATTAAGTAGAGATAGCAGGCAAGTCTCTATTTGTCTACACTGAAAAAAAGGTTTGGTCGTATATGTACCAAAGTTCGGTGTTCTATATCATCCCACCTAATTCGGTTTGTCAAATTGAATTTTCGGTTTATCCAACCGGACTTTCGGTTCATCAAACCAAAATTATGTGGTAAAGTGAAATGACGAACAAAGTTTCGTCATATATGTATGCAGCCGAAGGTTGGGTACACGAACCGAAAGTTCAGTTTGCTAAACCGAATATTTGGGATGATATGGAACACGGGACGTTCGGTTCACATGGCCGAATTTTTTTCAGTGTACTTTCTCAAGAATTTTGTACATGCTCGCGAGAAAAGTATGACAGTATTCTACGAACAAAGTCTCATTGATTACTCCTTTTAAAAATTAAAACATCGGCCAATAGACGTCGGAATGCAGAATGCAGCTTTTGATCTTCGTCGCTTCAAAAAGATGATAATCACGGATTAACTTACGCGGCCATTTTGGAATCATTTTCATGTTTATGTTACGTCACTGGGGACAGGTTGGATGGGTAGCATTTCAGAGCCGGCAAATTCTCTAAAACAACTGTAAATCCAATCGATTGCTTAAGATGTTTACGTAATTTGTGCAGAGAAAAAAATTCGATTTATATTGAACACCGAACTTTCGTTCGGTCTTAGAAACCGAAAAATTGGGTCACCTGATCCAGAGAATTTCAGTATTCAATATGAATTGAAGCTCAGATTCTGCTATCGAAATTTTTGCCCTGGTGTACCACCAAAAATGTTGAAAAAGTGACTGGATATTACACTTAATGAATTTCGTGTCCACCCGTTGACTTCAGAGAGTACAGATCCTTACCTCCCAATCATCTTCTATTTTTCCTGTAAAGGTCAGAGCTAACAGTCCGGACAAAAAGAGACCAACAATAAGAAGGCAGAGAGTTACACAACACATGGGAAAATAGATAATCAGGGCTCTTTTCCACGGAGAAAATGTTATGGTGATCGGATCAGATGAATAAGTGTAAAGGTGACCTTTTTAGGTGAATCGATCCTTTAATATAATGATGACAGGCTAATTTAATTAATAAACTATTAAAAACAGGTTTGAAACATGTTATAAAAAACCGGGTGTCAGTTTAAAAAGTAGTAATTGTTATGCTCATTCGGAGAGAAATTAGTAAAATTGCACCATAAAGTGTCGTAGGACGGAGACAAATGACAATATGAACCTTGTCCCTGTTTACTAATGAAAATTAAAAACTCCTGCAAACGGTCGACTATGCAATTTTACTCGCAGTTAGAAATTGTGCAGCAGTGCCCGTCTCAGTAATTGAAGGAGTTTCTTGTACCCGGTGATACAAAAGGATATATAAGAGGTGCTCAAGTGAGGGGGTGGGAGGGACGACGACACTTTATACCTTTTCTCACAAATCAGAGAGTAGTCCAGCCTGGTATTTTTAAAATTCTTTTCGTGAAGCTACGAGGGTCATCCAAAAAGTAAGTTCACCCCTTTCATATCTCCGAAACTAAAAGGGATGAATCAAATCGGTAAAAAAGAACTTCTTACTTATATCCTCAGCTCTCCATAGGTACCAAGATTTTTAAATTTGGACCACTGGTTGCTGAAATATTCGATTTTTACGTGAACAACTCCCGGCCAGTTCCGTCCACCAAACGATGCGCTGCGATTCCCGTCACGCTACCTGAATTGACTGTGTTCCCCACACATCTACGTAGGAATAACCAACTCATATTCTAAGATTGGCATTAAAACAATCTTACCTTATTTTTCGACGTAATTTCCGTTCCTATAGATGCATTTTTCACAGCGTTTCTGAAGCTTCTTAATGCCGTTCTCAAAGAACACTTTTGGTTGACTCTTGAACCAGCCATTGACTTTTTCCGTCACCTGCTGATCGTTCTCGAAGCTCTGGCCACCTAGGTGCTTCTTGAGTTGCGGACAAATATGATAGTCACTCGGGGCAAGGGCTGGAGAGTATGGAGGATGAGGTGACACCTCTCACGCAAATTTGTCCAAAAAATTTTGGGTCTCTTTCGCCGTGTGAGGTCATTATCGTGAAGGAATAGGGGACCACGAGACAAGAGACCCGGTCGCTTGTTTCTTATTGCCAATCGCAACGAATTCAATATTCCACAATACCGTGGTGCATTGATTGTACACCCTTTCTCCAAATAATGGACGAGGAGTACTCCTTGAGAGTCCCAGAAGACAAAAGCGACGCGACAGCGCGCGGTGCATCTCATATCAGCGCGTCGTTTGGTGGACGGAACTGGCCGGGAGTTGTTCACGTAAAAATCGAATATCTCGGCAACCAGTGGTCCAAATTTAAAAATCTTGGTACCTATGGAGAGCTGAGGATATAAGTAAGAAGTTCTTTTTTACCGATTTGATTTATCCTTTTTAGTTTCGGAGATATGAAAGGGGTGAACTTACTTTTTGGATGACCCTTGTATATTTCGTCTTTAGGTTTTCATGCGTTTGTATCGGCTTCTGTTTTCTCACAGAAACATTGCAACGGTGACTTTCAGAAAAACGTAATTTAAAAACAAGGAGAGTACCCTATAGATATTCATTCCTTACGGGATTCCTGAAGTGGAAAAATCCATTAACTTTAAGTTTACCTTGCCTCGGAGAAAATTTTCAAGGTTCGTTTGTACGGAATAATACCCGCGAAAAACATTTCACACTACTTGGAGCCATCACAATCAATTTGAAAGTAGAAGTAATTCGTTACGTTGAACATACAATGACATGGTTGATAAAAAGACATTGTTGAAAGGCCATAACAAACTATTCATGTTTAAAACTTCTTGGAATAAAAAGAAAGATGATATTTAAAAAAACTGAACGTGAATCATTCGATTCGCGTAATTCAACGCGTGTTATTTATTTTTATTGCTGAAAATTTATTATCACTTAACATATCAGTATTTTAAATACTTTACATATCAGTTTTGTAAATGAAATGCATATCATTTTTGTACTGTTGTTGAATGGATGTCTATTGATTATATTTGACTTTTGTCATTTTTATTTCGTTTTGTTTTCTTTCATTATTTTTCCTAGCATGGTACCAAAATTCCTTTTAAATGGTTTATTTTTGACAATTTTAAGAAAAAACTTGATAATATAGCTTATTTGCCGATTTTGTACTTGTCCTCTACGCACAATTTAATTTTCTAATGATTTTTCTGGTTGTATCATAACATACATTGATATTGCTGAAAATCGACGATTGCTCATTTGTTTGCCTCGAACATTACATCCGTTAAAATTAATGTAAATTAATTTCATGAGACGTAAGAACGAATAATAACTGGAAAGAGAGAAGTTAATTTTGGCTGATTTTTAAAATTAAAAATTTCCCAGCAATGTATGAATAAACTTAATATTAAATTCTGCTAATTTCACGCGTTCCTGGCAAGTCTTTCTCTATAAACTTATTAGGCGAAATAATTAAATGAACTATTTTAAACTCTTTTTTGTAGCTAACGCACGTGATCCCATATTTTGTTACTCCTCTGACTCAAGGATGGGACTACAATCCCAGTGATAGGCCGTTTTAAGCCATGTCTCCTGGAAAAACATTGCTGTGAGGTCCTTTACTCATGTGAAAATGCAGTTACACTCTTACGTTAGAAAGATGACGATTCATTCTTTCCTTTCTGTATTTGAATTGTTAAATATGTTTTGTAGATTTTTGAGAATTCTCCATAAATCAATTTGAATTAAAAATTGGTTGAAAAAACTTAGCATTCATCAAAAAAGAGAAAATTCCCATTGAGAAAATTGCAGTGTTCGCTCTTGAATCCTCACGGAGAGCCTGCCGTATGGTCAATTTTTTCAGGTAGTCCTAAAAATTATTTAGACAATTTGAAAAAAATCATTTAGTTTTTTGCAAGAAAAAAATATGCTTCTGTCAGATTTTTGAGATTATATATGCTGGAGGGTGCGCCTCGGTAGATTCTGCTAGTATTTTCGGCTTTTGGCGATGCCAAAGAAAAGGTATTGTCAATGATACAACCTGCCTTTAATACAAATTTAGATAAGGCAGAGCATACGCCAAATAAGTTAACGCATTTGTAGACTGCGACAGAAGGTCGTCCGAAGTCACTTTTACATTTGAAGTAAATGGAAGAATTAGGATTGTGGGTCCTGTGTCGCAGTCGAAAAGTGCGTAAACTTATTTGAGGTGGACCCTACTTTCATGGGAAAAGTTGAGAACAAGTTGCTACATCGATTAACACAACAACGCTGATATTCTAAAACTATCCTGGTGGAGCTGTAAAACGTAATAATTTTCTGTGTACATTTTTTGAGTTGATTTTATTTTAATACTTCTTCTCTAGTGTTGATGACGTGGAAAATTTTCTAAACACGTGATAAAATTGATGTTTTTCTCTTTTATTTTAATATCAAACAACAAAATCTGTTGTTGTCCTTCTTGATTTTTCAAATGATGAATACATATCACGATACATATCAATTATAAAATCATCAAATTCTAATGATCTAGTAATAAAGCAATTTTGCCCGAAAGTTATTATATTAAATATATATCAGTCCTTTTTAGTGGATGTTAATTGAAGACTGTTTTGTAGTACTGTAAGAGAAATTTTTATCGAATGAACAAATACATATCATGAGTCTTGGACCGTGGCGCTTTTAACAAACTAGCTCAAATTTTTTCTGACTTGTTAAGATCCACAAGAATTATTTTTATTAGGTCTCAAAAATGACTATTGAAAATTCAACAATGCGGAGGATCTCTATACATATCATCGAATGCCTTAGCAGCACATGTTCTAATGACAACATAATTGCCCTTAATTATCCATACAGTCTAGAATAGTACCGTTCAAATCAATGTTTAAAAAGTAAAAGAAATAAATGACGAATTTTGTCGAAAATTTTCTCTGCATTTTCTTATAGCTGCAAATAAACTTGAAATAATTTCTTCTACATAAAGCTAAATTAAAAAAAGTTTGTGGAATATATTGTCTTAGACAATGAATTCGTACGCGCATTTAAAGGAAGTAGTCGAAAGTCTCAATAATATACCCAGAGGATTTCAGAATCTTACACTTATGTCACTAACATCGCTTGAAAGTTATACTGAGATTACTACCAACTTGCCTGAATACACAGTGAGTCCGAGAAATTGTTGCCTTCAGAATCACAACGCTATGTCTCAAATTTATTAAGCCTAAAATCGATCTCCCAATTTTTTTCAGAAATGAAATAACCGTTTAATAATTTCACACAAGATGAATCATTTTTAGGCAAGAATAAAAGAATAAGATTACCTGACCGAAAAATTTGTGACAAGTACTGTGACCCACAATGGTGCTCCATCAGTCACTCTATTCTTCAGTTGTCAAACTTACTGCTACCATGACGAGGTTTGACGAGAATCGCAGTTTTATTATCTCAGCTCTTCATTACCTGATTTGAATGTGCACCATATTCTTTCCTCTTGGTCACATCCTTTGTTTCCTAGAATTGTTCATGATTTTTCCCCTTTTTATTCATTTTGGTGTTATTTATAAATGTAAAAACAAAGTGTTTGTAAATTAATTTTTGCCCTAGTATAAGCCATTTGAAACTAAACCGTCACTATACATATCGAAAAATTGCGTTAGAATGGCAACTTTTCCGAAGTTTTTATTCTTTATTGTATTCTGACCTCAAACATTAAACCGGTTAACATTTCCAGCTGTCTTTGTCGAAAAATGCATTCGATCATTTATTTAAAAAATAATTTCATTAAAAAAAAGGATTGAGGAAAACTAATTTTAAGTTCATAAGACTCCACGTATTGTTACAGAGGAAATAAAACTTTTAAAGTGGTGTCCTGGATAATCTATTGCTTGGAATATCGTTCCAAATCTATGGAATGACCCCTCCGAATTTTCTCAAGGAACAATGAAAATATGCTTCAGTCACACGTATAAACCTGTATATAAAGAATATATCAGAAATCTAGAATTCAGTTTCTCTTCAATCCAGTATAGGCATATGAGCACTGGATGTTGCGTCCAGTCGCATTGAAGGCGCTTCTTCCTCGAAGCATTTTGTTTTCAGATAAAAGCATGTTAGCACCAACAGGAAACTATTTATGCTCTCAACTGTTGATTTGACTTTAATGACTCCAATTACAAGTGAAAAATGAATGGGGAAGATCTTTCTAATTATTAGCATTTTTGTTCAAATTAAATTTCTTTTAAAACCACTCAAAATATCCCCCAGTCCTCCCAGAGAAATAGTAACACAGTTACTTGATTGTTTCTTTTCTTACCTTTAAAGTGATCTAAAGCAAAAAAGGAAGAAATTCACTCTGTTTAAAAATTGCAAATAGGTATACTTCTACCTAAAACTCCGGCGAAAAGTAGTGAATATTGTTAAAAGTTTTGTTTCTTTTTCTTCCAGATGTTGAATATGTATCGCAACTAACTCAACAGAAATATATTACCTTGAAAGTTTATGAGATATACTTCTATTGAACCGTGTCAATAACTTTAATTTAATTCGTCATTGATGCATACGTAAATATAAAAACTAGCAATAACATGGGTAACTTTTTTGTTGGAACCATCCCTCATTTTGTTTATCGAATGAGAAGAAAATTTTAAAGAATAAAAACTTAGGGCCTGAATATTCCTGACGCAATTTTACTGTATCATACAATTGTTTGGATAAAGTATTTATTATACCTGTAATTGTTTTTACTGATACTTTGTGATAAAGAAAGCATTTATAACATATCTCGTTATGCATATCATCCTTATTTTACTGAATTTCTTGTTATATGCAATTTATTTTTCATATCAAACACATATCAATTTTTTTAGCCAGGCGAAATTCAACACTTGAAGATTATTCCTTCTGATTATTTTCTTTACGGTCATAGGTCTCATTTTCTTTAACTAAGATCACTTCGATTACATCAATACGAACAGGCATTTGGAAAATTGCCTTTTGATCTTACAGCGACCATTACCGAAATGATAAAGGTGGTTAATCGTAGAAAGTCCATCCATTGTGATCGTATAGTATTTTGTGATGTTTCTCAACTATGCCTGTATAATGTGTACCCTTTCGAACTGATCAAACTAAGATATTTATACGTGTGTTAAGTTTAAAGTTTACCAAAAGTTCAAGTGTATTGCCAATTAAGGTAGCATACTTTTGTTTGCGCAAGCGTTTTACTTGCAATTTAACCTGCGTGCGAGTAAATGCTCTTTCCTACGATTACTCATCCTTTCATCTCTTTTAAAAGTCTTACATAAAATTCCTTCTCCATCCGCGTTCTATTTTCACTATGCATTGAACTATACTGTACATTTCTAAATTAAGATTAGATACGTTGGGGCTTCAGATTGTTCACTATAATGTCACTGTTACGTTAAGTTATTTCATGTAATATCTAAAATGTGAATACTGAATTAAAATTGTATTCGTTAAACTTGGAATATTTGCTTTAATCACGTCTGCTCAATGGCAGTTATCTCGTTACGTGTACGAAATGAGTCTTCCGATAAAACTGGAAAAGAACGAAACCACCTGACAATGGAGTCATTATACAATACAACAAGGCATACCTTTTTTTGTTCTCTCTCTTTTTTTCTTTTCTTTTTTTTTCTATTAAAAAAAAAAAAAAAAATTAAGGTATCCACAGCACACGTTTGATGTTTTGGAAACATCTAAAACCTGTTTAAGGGGATAATAGCGTATAAAGTTCATGGCAAAGTTACTCAATTCGAAATATCCACTCGCGTAAACCAGAGATTAGTGTAAGTCGCCATCCCTTGAAAACAATCTTACCCGTTCAGAAATTTATCGCTGTATCAACGTGATTGAAGTTTTGTCTCCTTCTCTGAAAAAATTAATTTTTAACTTGGCGAAGGAAAAGTTTGCGAGACGATTCTTCAATTTAAAAACAAACAAAAAATAGAAAAGGGCCTATTTTGTCTCCACAAGACGTTAGTTTTTGTTTATAATTTGTTTTATTATGAATAAATTTAAAAATGCTTAGTGCATTTACCGTATTCTTAGAGAAATCTCGATGAGGTAACATGTATGTGCGTGCTATATTTCTCACCTTCTGTGGCTACTGTGTTCAAATTAGCAACCTGAGTTTATGTGACCCTAATGGCCATACAAATATTTCCCATCTCATTTAACCAAACTCTTCCCTCGGTTTGATGTAATCTGCAAGATTTGTTAAATTACGGCAAGTACACATGTGTGTAAAAAATCTTGTTGAACGAACCAAATATTATCCTAAGTTGTTGACAATGCGAAAACAAAAAAAGGGCCTGTTTTCTTTACTTTAAGTTTCATTCTGTGACAGCACGGTACTTTGGTGTGTTTTACTCAAACAAAAAACGAAAATCATTTGCAACCCAAAAAATCGTGCTTTGTGTGAGATGTACGATAAAAATCTTACCGAAGACCCATGGGATGGCATCTTGAAAGTTAATTTCCAAATCTTCGGACCTTTTAACAATAAAGAATACTAATTACACGTATTGTTAAACGCAGACAGGGTACTTTTTTAATTTAAATAATAATTGGAAGTTGTCTAATGTGAAAGGTCAGGATTCCTGACAAAGAGCCAGGAATACACATGACATTTTCCCTCTAAATTTTGATGTGACGGAAACAAATTAACAAACGCTAATTTGCAAATGAGTAAAAATATAACGGTATGAGCTTAGCGCATCGTAAAGCTGTTATAGCCATGCATCCTCTCGTTCACGCTTCTTTCTATACAAGGAGGACGCGTGAAAGGATGGTCACAACAACTTAACGATGCGCTAATCTCACCGCTATTTTTCTCACCCCTTTGCAGTTAAAGAACGTTCATACAATTCTTAATGCTAAAAATTAGATTTTTATACTCCCTCCTCCTCCTAACGCAGATCTATAAATTGTTTACAAAATACATGATGCTCCTCTTGACTCTTTCGTTGGTTACGGGACATTTTGTCAACGATTTTTTGTCCGCGCACCTGTTTTTTCAAGTAATTTATGTCCACGCGTTTTTTGGGCACGGGAGTTTTGGTCCACGTGCCAGTTGAGATCCAAAGTTAATTGGCCCACATGTAAATACAAACGACAATTGCTCACGAAGTTTTTGGATGAAGATATATAATGTCTTGGAAAAATGAGGGGTTGCTTGTTTTTTTGTTTTGTCTGTTTGGTCCAACGGAGAATAATACATAGTTGAGAGTTTTGGTAAAAATGGGGGAGCGTCAATTCCATGCGACAAAATTCACTCAAACTCTCTACGCCTCTATGGTGTAACAGGACTTAATTATCTTTCAAGAAATTCCCACCTTGTTATACCTGAACCGGATAAACCTCTATATTTGCCTCAGCTAAAGGCTCTTAGATTTTTTCTGCGTCCGATAAGTATCTTGATTTCTTTTGCGAGGAAAGATCTGTACTTTTAAAGGATGCTTTTCATTCTTAATACGTTCAATTTCGTATAATACTATGCAACAATAGTTCTCTGTTGTGAAATAGTTGCTTTAGGCGCCGCCGCACGGCGGGCGGGCGGCCAGCGCAAAACGCGCATCTGCGCCTACAAACCTAAGTGGATACTTCAAGCATTGTGCAATGCGTGAAGTATCCACTTAGGTTTGTAGGCGCCAATAAGCTTCTCGCGCTGGCAGCACGCCAATCCGCTCTGTTAGGCTTTAATAATTATACTCGCACAGTCAGCGTTTTCGAACTCATTATCTTGAAATGTTTGCACACTCTGAATTGATTATTCTCATTTAAATTGATGGGAAAAAATATGTATCAATTTATCAAAGGAGAATAATAATATAATGTGTTGTTTTTAAATATTGGTGCGGTTCGGTGTCAAATTTAATGATTTCCAAAGCACTTCAATTTTTTCTTTTACATTTTGTGATTTTATTGTGCTGCGGCGAGGTGTACGCGCAACCAAACGTTCAAAATTTGACGTATTTGACTCTAAAAGATCGATGTACAAATGGGTTAAAACTAAAGATTGTGTGCTTCTTGGTTTTTTTTCCTCTTTTATTCATTTTTGCAGTTTCTGTCGGCATAACTGCGGCTCATTGAGATTAATGTCACTTGGAAAAGGTTTTACAAATGTTTGTCACGTTTTAAAAATATAAATGTTTTCATAATGAAGTAATAATTTTGTGAAGAAAAAATGAAAAAAATGAAAAAAAGTACCTATACATATATAAGGATTATTGCACATCGAATATTTTAAGGATAGAAATAAAACCAAATATTCATCAATGACAATTTAAAGAGATGATTCAAAAGGAGAAAGTAATAACATTTCATTTAAAAAATGAGCAACCATAACAACACTTCCTTCTCTCCCAATTTCTCATTTGCATATTGTCAATATAATTTTACATACCGACTAAAATATAACGCTTGGACCAAGTCACTGTTGCTTATTTTACGAGTGGGCGTAAACTACTGGACAAAAAAGGTGCGCAGACAAAAAATCATTGACGAAATGTCCTGAAACCCTTTCGTTTCCAAAAAAAAAATCGCTGATAAACCCTAATTCTTCTTCTCTGTCTTTTAATTTTGAAAGGTTGATAAACTTGATAGAAGAAGAAACGAAGTAAAGAAATAATGACACAGGTCTGAACATTTTTAAATTATACAAATTAAATAAAAAAAATCAGGATACTAAAAGAAACGAGGAATATCGAACGATTTTCAATGAAATACTGTAATAAAGTGAAATGGAAAAGCAAAAAATTGTGACAAAACCCCTTTAAGAAAAGTAAACAAAAAAAAAATATATATATATATAACGCCAAGCATTGCTTCACGCGGCTCTGGTCTCCTTTTTCTCCAAGATCTATATCTTCGCCCGTGAGGAACCCATAACGCAGACTAGGGTCCCATCCCCCAAAAAGTTACGTATTTTATAAACGGCATCGAACCTGAGGTATTAATTAGTTCTAAAAGATTATACTTACGGTGGTTGGACGATTTTTACGACGTCACCCTGTAGGTAGCCTCTAGATGTATCCAAGCGGTGCCTGAAATATCCTCTGCCCTCCGGCCAGAACCGAACATCAAATTTTTGTTTGATGAAGACTTGATCGCACTTAGATTCGCCATTCGGTGGTACAATCCGCTGACAAAACAACCCGAGTTCTTCTTCTCGCACGTTAATCAAATCAGCTCGAATTTCAACACTTTCGACAGCCGTTTCATTCCACGAAAAATTGAACTCCAAGCCCACGAGGACGTTCCTGTAAACCGTTGCATTGTCCAAAGTCACCAAATCAACGTCAAAATGCTTCAAATTCTCGTCGCAGCCGAACGTCTCGTTCGAACTTCCCGCTTTTCGGGCTTCCCGCGCGTGCTCGAGAAATTTACGGAAGCAGCGCACTCTGACGGTGGACGGGAGAACCGCGGTCAAGCGGGACTCCTCATCTTCGGGCTCCATTCGCCGCGGAACGGAATAGGCCATCGAGACCAGGCCGGAGGGTATGTAACGCGAAAGGCTGAAGTGCTCCCGGAACGCCGACAGAGCGCGAAAGTCCCGCGGGATCATCCGGGAACAAACCACATGACGGTTTTCGAAAAAGACGGGTGCCTTCCGGCCGCAAACACCAGGCTGCAGCATTGCCCGGGGCAGTTTCAGCGGGATCGTGCTGTGATCCGTTCGGAGAAGGAATGTAGCTCGTGTTTTGGTATGGCGCGGCTGATCGCGCGCGAAAAGGAATGCTGATTGTTGGGGTTGCGGTGCTGTTTTGTTGGATGTTGCCTCCGGGTAGTACTCACCGATGAACGGTGAGTTTGATGAGGATACACAGAGGAAACTGAGCCATGGCTGGCTGTGCATGTCGGCCGAACTGCAGCTGAGAGAGTTCGGAGCGTTTATGCTGTCAAACATCGAGGCAAACGTACCTGGAACAATAAATAAGTAGCTAGTTAGTAAGTGGCACGTGGTACGAACGAAGTAAATAGTACAAATAAGTGGTACGTTAAAAAAAAGAAGAAGAAAAATGTACAGCTCAAGAGAGTGTCAAAAATCTGGTGATCTCTAGATGCTGGTTTGACTAGCTTTAGTCAAATTTACGCTGCAGCTGAGAGAGTTCGGAGCGTTTATGCTGTCGAACATCGAGGCAAACGTACCTGGAACAATAAATAAGTAGCTAGGTAGTAAGTGGCACGTGGTACGAAAGAAGTAAATAGTACAAATAAGTAGTACGTTAAAAAAAAGAAGAAAAAAATGTACAGCTCAAGAGAGTGTCAAAAATCTGGTGATCTCTAGATGCTGGTTTGACTAGATTTAGTCACATTTACACTCTCGGCATGCAAAGCTAACTAAAAGTGCAGTTAGACAGCATCTATAGAGATCACAATGCACGTTTTTGATATCCAGGATGCTATCTTAACATTTTACTTATTTATTTGTATTTTATCCTGTAAAAACGGTTCCACGTAGGCCCATAAGATCTCAATAAGTCTAAATGGATATTTCATGGGGACCAATTGGAAACCATGGGTAGGTACCCATCACCATACTCCACACCATAGGTATGGGAGGGAACAACTTAAATTTTTGCTCCAGCAAAAGTTTGCAACAGGCCCACGATCGTTCCAAAAGACCATAGATGGTGATTAATATAACAAACAGCCTTAGGAGTTATCATCAAATAGCAGCAAGCTATCGCAACTTAAAGTAAGGGATGATTTCTCTCACCTAAAGTTCTATTATTCCAACAGAGAATGTTTCTACGATTTTCAGCATATAACGAGTCGAGCTAAGGAGAAACAGAGTAAAAACAAAAATATGGCCCTGTCGGTCCAAGCGATTATTAGGTCTGACATTTCTTAGCTTTTGAACAAATTTAAAAAATAACTCAATATACGATTCAGTCTCAAATACCGCGTAAATGACTCCACGCAGTGTGTTTCAAAAAGGAAAATAGCTAAAACTCAAAATTAGAACTTTTCACACAGGCTTGACATCGTGAACCTCGTCTAACAGGCTTCCGCAGTATTTATGAGGGCGATAAGTATTTGTATTTTATAACCCTTACCACTCAGTAAGACGATAAAGTAGATGGATCCGTCCAATATAGCCATCGGATCCGTAGGTCACTTCGCTTTGGAGCCGGTATATCGGTGTTTAACACCGAATAACAGAAGTGAGCACATTATGGGTGACGCCGGTGGCGAGATGCGGATCTGAGAGCGGTTCCCTTCAAAGCTTTTGAGGCTCTTCGTCAATTATGCAGGACCATGGAAAAATGTAGTAAGCACCTCCTGGCATTGCCAAATTGCTCCTGAAAAATGTACATTTTCTAGAATACTTGGGAACATTTCACGATACAATTACTTATGAAGAAATGAAGCGCTGGGTGCAGAAAGAAATGCAGTTCTCGGCTGCGAATCTTTTAGTAATCCACATAGAAACACATAATTGGTTAGAATCATCAGTGGTAATTAAAATATTACGGAGAAAACTATTAGATGAATTATTGGGAATTTTCTGCCTCAAACTCTATGAAATCATAATAAATCCTCTGTAAATGTTTAGAAAAATCATGTAACTTGGTTTGATAGTAATGGATGAAACGTCAGCGCTGATTTGGAGACGCCGCAATCGAAAAGTGTTCTGATTTCTGCACCCAGCGCTTGAATTTCATTCGCAATTCAATGCCGAAAATTTGAGGGAATTTCACAAATTTCTGAAAAAGAGAAAAAAATAATATTTTGTTTGGAGAAATTTGTCAACAATCAAATGCTTTTGCAGTTATGTTCCTATGGACGGCAGAGTAGGGCAGAGGAGATGAGGTCGTCCTGTTACTTCGGATTGATTCACACTTTTCGACATCCAGGTTGTAAATGGAGGTGTGATAGATTTATGAGTTGGTGTTTTTCGATGCGTAACCTAACACAAACATTCTAAATACGCACATTTCTTCAGTGAGAGAAGTGAAATCTAATTTTATGATCAACTGACTGTTCTCTGTCTTTTTTTTCTCTCTCTATTTCGATTCTAAAATTGGTGCTCAAATATTTTGATATTGAAAAATAAAAACACAATATCAATAATAATTTTATTGAAATTGTAAATTACATAATGACTGACTTTAACGACTCCGATTCATGTGAGAAACTGAGAAAATTTGTCCTTGACATCCATGCAAGATTTCTAAGGTGCGTGCCTCAGACGGATAAAAAAATAGTTTTTTTTTATTATTCTAAGAATCTGGGTGGCTCTCTCATCGCGTTTGAAAATATTACAATATTTCATGCAAATATCTTCGCAGGATTCAAGTTTTTTGACGCTAAGTCGGCCTCATTTAGTGATATCACCTCGCAATCTCTTCTGTCATTTTAAAAGAGGAAGGACTACTAAAAAAATGTGATATTACACTCTCCTGATTCTGGATGGAATGTCCACGTTTATTTTCACGGCAGATTCGCGTGTTGAAGTACCCGTCAACGCCGGACCATTCAATATAATTCGACACATTGTTGCATGTGTTTTGAAATTGTGCCGCTAGAGAGCCCGCCACAGGTTATGCGCATTGTAGCGCCTTGATTCAACTATTCGTGTTCCACGGATATGTGTGTTGCGTGTTCAAAAATTGAAGGCACTCCCGCCTTTTTCATCACTGGACTGGGAACGAACATCTCTCAGTTCGTTGACTGGCCAATTTCGCCAAACAGGCGTAGCAATAACTTGTCAGTGGCTAACGAACAAAACCGCCTATCTACAAACTGACAATTTTGCAGAACGAAGAGAAATCTTCGCCATTTTTGAAATTTTAAGGTTAGATTTGCAATTTTTTCATACATTACAGCGTTAATGAAGCGCTTCTCTATAGAATTGTGAGTAACACAACTAAAATCATCAGCTTGCGTATTTTATACGGCAAAGCTGCGAACTTATTTTTGCCGACATTGTCAGTTAGACGTTCTCGTTCGTTAGCCGTCGATTTTCAACCACGAACACGTGCAGAACATAGCACGTACTACTGTCTTGCCTGATATGAAAAAAGACCCCTTTAAGAGTTGGTAATAAAATGTGTCAATTTTTTATCATCAAAAAAATTTCTAAATGTCCTAGATCATACTGACAACTTTACGAAAAACAGAGGATTCGTCTAATAAAATGTTCTACTCGGACGCTTCCAGGTATATTTTCTCAAAACTTCATTTTTGCTCTTACTGAGTAACGGCTCTTTCCAGAGGCACGGCAGAGAGATGTTTACTATTGCTCTACCGCAATATAATAACCGCTGTAACACAAGCAATGGCAGGTGCAACTAACCTATGTGTCCAGTCTAACATCAGCCAAAACATTCGAGCTCCATGATTTTTGAACGGCGACACGACTCATTCCTCGCAAAAAAATGGAAACGCCGGTATACGCTATCATTAACAAAGTATACTGGAGCTACAACTCGTAATCGATCTCGTCCTGAAAATTTCATAGAGCGATTCCCGGCATAGGGCGAAAACACAAAAACTAACCTTGACATTGAGGAAACACCGGTTTTGGCCCGGCGAATCGAACTTGAGGCCGGAGGGACAAATAGAAACACATGTTACCCACATCTGTTGCTAAGTAACAGCCGTAAACAAACATGCGCTTCCTCCGCTCATCGATGCGGTGCGTTGCGGCTCAACGGTGCAACTGATGGATATGTGGGTACTCTGCTCCCTGTGTTGCCGTTTCATGGGGATGATTCGTCGTTTCCTAGAAACCTTCGAAAGAATGAAACTACTTTTCACCGTTTTGGAATATGTGCTTTCCCTGAGAAACTGTGCGAAATCTCCAATCGAAAATTTCACTGATGTACCCTCTGATTACAAGCTAAAAGCAAAGTTTTGAATAGGAATTATACTGATATTATATCCCAGTGAAAAAATCCAATCTCGAGTCAATTTCGCAACTTTGCAATAGAGGTCCATTCTTACAGATGAGAAAAGACGCATTGAACGGCTCCAATCAGAATCAGCAAATTGCTTTTTTTTTTTTTTTTTTTTTTTTTTTTTCAATAAGTTGCTATTTATTGGTCCTCTATACGTAGAAATCACACCATGAATGATATGTTGCGTGACTTATTTGTTGCATTTTTCGTGCCATAAATACTTAAAGAAGTTTTATCTACGGTTTTGTGCAAGTTTTTTTTTATTGTATTTTAATTTCGTTTGCCAACTTGGATTTGTATAGAAAAACAGTTTCCACGTTTCCCGCAGGAACTTGTTTTTTAAGAAGTCAAAAGTAAAAAGACAAGAGAGAAATGATCCCATTTTTTCGTTAAAATTTGAATTGTGTGCCGGCAGACAGAAATGCATAAACTCTCATAATAATTGTTTTTCCGAACTTTATCATGAAGCAGCAACACTGCCCAGCCGTCCCGTCCGAAACTGATCATGGGCCACCTCTCGTTCACGCTTACTGACCTACTGCACTGCACGTGCGAACGCATGGAGGTCATCTACAATTAGGTCATTCAGACTTCGTTTTGTGTCAAACACGTTTGAAATATGATTTCCTTACATATAATTTTTTCCGTTCATTAGTTCCTAAACTTCCTCTATAATACAAAGGATAATTACAAAATATGATTTTAAATTTAGATGCGATGCTTAGATGATTAGAGAGATGTTTAACTGGGTTCCTCCTGGGAAGGAGACGAAGGGGACGCCCAGTGAAAGAGTGGCGACAGGGGTTTTAGGAGAAATGAGGGTGTGCCAACTCCCTGATGGGTTTTGGGAGGATAGGCAACTTTGGCGGCTAGGTGTCGCAAAGCGCCAGAGAGCGCTACAAAAGCGGCTTTATCTGTATGTATGATTTTGAATGTAGAATGGCACATACATTTTATACAGATATTTGGATGAGGGTCATCCCTGCATAACGGATCGGTATAACGGGTTGGTTTTTGACATCCTCACCCTGTGTACAGAACGCTTTATAAGGCTTTCCCGTACCTCCAATAAATTTATAACGAATAAAACAACGATGACTCGTCACCCCATTACGAAAATTTTGCGAATTGAGATAAATTTATGGAGCATGTATGGGTTGTTATTGAATATGGCAGGGTAAAAGCATTGCAGTTCATGGACTGATGAAAAAGTAGCAGGTTTCCTCTGAGACCGATCTATATAAGTTCCATACGTCAAAACCCTTGGACACAACAGAAAAAAACTCCTTAACACTAGAAAAATCACCCAAAATCGTTTTATGGCGGTTTTTTACTTTCTCGCTCCCCTTGCAGATAGAGGAAGTATTGTCATCATAAAAATAAAAATAAAAAAAAATTAAATTTCATCATTTCTAGGCGTCTGAAGGTGCCTTGAGTAACAAACACCGAATTTAAAAAAAAAAAATGTGTGTCTTTCGTCAGGCATTCCCAAATTTGTGTACAGCCATATCTCAAAATCTATTCGTTCAATGTCATTCAAAATTTTATGGAGGATCATGTATATGGTCTCCTTATGCACGTCAAAAAAAATATTTTTTGTACTGTCACGGCCTGACAAACATACGCTCTTTACGCTTGTTGCGTTGGTAGCTGTCCATAAATGACGTCACGTTCTTAGAGAAAGAGGGTTCATGACTGCCCAATTTAAGGACCCATTTAAGGAGGATTAAAGAGGGGTGAATAACTGACAACGTGAAAGCAGGACTGCAAAAAATGGAAAAAGTTCCTAACGCCATTTCTTGATGGCTCCTTACGTAACTCTGGAATGACCCCATTATACCATCGCTCCTCTGACGTAAGGGCGTATTTTCATTTCCAAGTGAGCCCTGAAAAGCATGAAGCTATATGGAGAACAGGGCTCATGTGCAAATTGAGATACGCCCTTGCATGTGTGACATTACGACGTCGTAACCCTATAGAGTAATCTAGAATCCCTTTATACTGAGAGTAAAGACAATGTGAATCAATGTCTAATTGGTTCCCGTATTTTAGGTCTTCACAGCGGCACAAACGGGAATAAAGATTACATTTTCACCAATTGCAAAGATTATAAACTGGAATAGACCGGGGAATGGGGGGTACGGCAAGGAGCAAATGGAATGAGAGAGGAAACGGAGATAGGAATTCGGGAATGGGTTGATCAGAGATTACAAAAAACCGTCCGATTTGTGTAATCTTTATTCCTCTTAGTGACATCCATAAGCCGCGTTGTCTCTTCTCTCTCTCTATAAAGGGACTCCAGAGTAACCGTACTTCCTTCATCCGTGTAAAATGCAGAAACAGAGTCACGCAGGGTTAAAATTAGTGGGAGAGACACATACCCACAGGGTTAAAAAATCTCAGTTCAGTCGCTAAGGAGGAAGTAATTGCTCGAAAATGCTCGAAATAGTTCTTCAAGTGAGCTCATCGACTAATCTCTGAGCTGATTAGTACATTTCGACGTAGTACATGAGAGGGCGTGTGCCATTTTTTATCAACTGTTTGTAGCAATTAACATTGACTTTATATTTAAATGATTAGTTAGCATAGATGGAATGCAGAGAAATCACACAGATCAATGGGGGCTTGTTTACTTCTTAATATTCAGCACTCAGCGTTTTTTCACTCGCTGGTCAGCCTCGAAAAGTAATGAGTACAATGCAAATCACCTCACTCTTTAAGTTTCATGACCGACAGGCATGAGCATAGCCAGAAGAAAAAATGAGGCGGGGGAGGAGGGGTGCCCATTAACCCATCATGAAGGTCTGGGTATCCAGCAGCTTTATACGATTGCAACTTTTCGGGGGAGAGATATCAGCTTTTTAAGGGGGAAGGGGGGGGGTCAGGCCCCAGCGAGCATGAGCGGTTCTACGGGGGTGCCAGCGGGTGTTGAACACTCCAAAGCAAAAATAAAGTATCATGAGATAGACTTTTGGTGAGGTACAAAGGTCGAGAAGTAATCATTGCGCACAGTTTATCCTTTTCATTTCATAAATTCTGAAATTTTCTCACTTTGCTCAACACTATACATCTGTTCCTTTTTCACCGATGTAGAATGTATGTGAAAAATACGTAATTACTGCTAATATAGATTCTATGGTAATACACAGCACCCCCCGCTGATAGAATTGCCCATTCTAAGGACTGGGCATTTTCCAGTTACCAGCGGACAACACAACAAGTTACCAGCGAACTGGCTCGTCAATCCTAACCAACAAACTCCCCCATCGGCCGATTTCTGACGAATTTTTTGGGATATTTTTGATGACATTTTGTAGTATAAAAATAAAAACCTACACACTGAATCATAATTCACAGGTTATGTAAATGAATTTTACAATTTATTTTCTTTCATTTCCTTTAGGAGTTTTTTTTTCTCTTTTACTTTTTTCCAAACACATTAACTCGGCAAGCAGGACTTTGCATTCTCAAGGGAAGAGATGAATGAAACATGCAGGAAATGGACACTCCACGAGAATATACAGGTTGCAGAACATGTTTCAAAAGTTGGAAACTAGAAAATCCATAAAATCCTAAAATGTATTGACCAACCAGAGAGCAGCACGTTTTTGCGGTGTGAGGATTGAGATGGTGATATTATTCTCACACATACACACTGTTTTGCAAGTGCTACAACTATGACAACTCTCTTACATTTCTGAAGAGATGAGAGAAGCTGGAGTGCCTTCAATTTTTGAACATACAACAAGCAGATCCGTAGAGTGCGAATAGTTGTATCAAGGTGCAACAATCAACTCGGTGTAGTATTCATAGATAGAGATAATTTTTGAATTATTGGCTTTCGATACTTCTTCTTACAGGTTCAAACTTGATTCGACTTGGTGTATTTCTGCTAAACTCGATCCGTATTGATGTCCCAATTAGGTCTTTGTTCAACATGTGGCAAGATGAAACTAATTTTTTAATCTCTTGAAGTGTCGGAAAGGCTCTGCTGCTATGGAGTAAACGCTGTTAGATCCATACAAGCCGACATAGATCCCTTTTTCAAGCCTTTCGTATAGTATTCGAATTATAACCAATCATTTTGGTGCAACTCAAATATTTTGAAAGTTTAAACAGTCATTTATGATTAGATTTGCCACATTGTATTGTGATGCTTTAAAAATTATGGATTCTGTTTTCATCCCCAAAATAAAAATTTGTGATCAACGAGCAAAATTTGCTTCCTTCAAAATTATATCATGGCAGGTATAGTCAAAAGACCGTTTCATAACAGCAAGTTCGTAAGTTTTTGTCGTCGTTTCGTAGATGTAAGGGATGTAAAGTCGACCGGTGCTTAATTAAACAATTTGGTACTCATTTAAAGAGCCAACTTTTCTGCGTCATTTTATATGAGAAAATATGTGTGTCATTAGTTTCGCTACGCAGTCAGTTGCCCCTATGGATGAGCTATTAATTTCGGCTCCTAATTGCAAAATGAAGTCTAGTCAGTGTTAGAAATAATATTTTTGGGAGGTACCTGTATATACATTTTAGATTTAATGGTAAAACTTTTCTGTGAGTTTCTACCGGTTTTAAAATACCTAGTACCTTAAAATATACATTCTAGTTTAAGATTCAGGAACACTTTCCTCTGCTGCATGGAAATATGAAACCTTAGAATAGAGAATGTCCCCAAACTTTATTTTTTGAGAGCGGTCGATTTTAGGATTCATTGAAAAATTTGTCGTAACTATCTCGAGATAAAAATACTTAGTTTGCTACTGCTGCGTAAGATAAAATGGCACGCGCGCCGGCGTCCCAGCATCAATTTGCTGAGCTTTGGCTAAATTTCTTTATCTTCTGCTGCACAATACTCTAATTAAAATGGACAAACAAAAGGTATCTAGAAAAATTTTGCTCACCCATCACCCGGTCCAGCAGTATATAAACTTCGGAAGCACACTTGGTAGGCATTCCAGTAGAGGTTTCAAACCTTCTGTGATCATGTGGACTCCCGTATTATTGTGCCTGCTGGGTAAGTTCATATTTCACGGATACTCATGACTTATTTTATTCGGTCTCTTTATGCTTTAAATTAAAACCACTGTTGTCTGCATCCACGGAGAAAATTAAAATTCTATGGGGGCCTAAAACTCAAAGAATATGAGGAGCGATACTTGCCATTGCCAGTACCGCGGTCAGGAGCGGTGCAAGTCTCAAATTAGCTGCATTTTCCAAAGGAGTTACTTTTTCTGGCTCATTTTATAAACAGCATATGGGCTATTGAATTCCGTATGCAAAAAGGTGTCGTTACGGATATGCCTGAATTAGTATTTCCAAATTGCAAAATGTAGTCTAAATATTAGAGAGGTTCATTGAAGCAGCTTTTACGTTTCCTCCAAAATGTATTTCGCTCCATGTATTGTACGTACCAATTAATGTAAAAACGAACTTTTACCTGCTTTTTTCTTGCTCAGTGGTAAAGAACATATTAATTTTAAAATACAACTGCTGCAATTATATGTACATTTATATTGATATTAGCAAGTTTCGACTGAAGTTTTTATTCAGTGTAGTATGATCTTAAAATTAGTATAATAATTTTTGGATTTTTCTGCCGTTGAAAGCGAAAGAAGTTACTTTAAACAGTATGTTTAGTGTACCTTTTTCGTAAGAAATCTAGAAAGCTGTGTGTTTCTTGAAGGGCAAATATACTGGTACAATTGTTTAGAAAAAGTACATTGACTGTTTCATATGCACGTGATACAACAACCCTGCCTTGCTGCTTTGAGTTCCGATTCCGCGACATTTTTATTAAATGATGTGTTTGAGAAGAAGCAGTAACGTATAAATTTAAAATCAAATGAGCTCTGGTACGATGTGGTTGTTTCTAGGCTACCTTAAAAAATAATTCCCAAAACAGTAGACTTCAAAAAAATTGTTGGGGCCAAAGAGCTGGGGGTCAGAGTTCAAATCTTTGGGGCTCGATATCGCTTGAGCGGAAAAGTACATTTATCAATAACAAATCTTTGCCAGCATAATCCATCATTGGGTGTAATTTATCTTTCTATGTAAGAGATTATTACCGACCAGGCGTTCCATGTTACCTACATTCCTTGAAAATATTAAAATAATTTCAAACTGATTTTACTCCAAATCGATATTTTTGAATCGGAGCAGAAACCAGATTTTTTTATTTGTTGTTTGATTGTGTGAAGGGGTGATTTTTAGTAAAACGATCCGTTCAAAAGTTATGACAAATCAAAGTTGGTGTCACGGGAGTAAGAGGCAATTTATCTTTAAATCTGGGCCTGAGATCGCTCTGAGACCTCCATTTCTTCCCTCCGCTGCGACCCTCACGACCATCGCAACCCTCTGCTCGCATAGGCATGGGCGCTGACCGCTGAGCTGACAGAGGAAGTGGATGATTTGGGGGAATGAAAAAATATCTCTTAGCTACAAAGAGGACCCGGATTCCTGAAGATCCTGCCCGTTACTCAACTTTGATATTTTCGTAACTTTCAAACGATTCATTTTTCTCAAACTCAAATTCATTTTTTGCCACACGCATTGAACTGAAAATTTCGAAAATCTGTTTTTTGCTCGAATGTGAAATACAAATTTTGAGTAAATTTGAGATAAAATAGCCTCCAAATCATCAAAAAATGAACAGAGCCCTCGTAAATTGTAGCTATTTAATGAGATATGGTTATCGTCTCTTCCAGAATGGCAATTTTAGACCATTTTAAGCGCAAGTTATATATTGATACTTACCTGGATTCGTTTGAAACTTATCAAGCTACAACCATTAAAATATGGACTCCCCTTGCGCTCCTGAAAGGGTATAAAGGGTCTGAAACGCTGAAAAAAGATTTCTCATATAAGCGGAATTCACGAAATAAATTTGAATGGAGTCTGATGGGGGTGTACGTGGGACACATACATTATCTGGGGAAAAAAAAAAAAAAGAAAAAAACCTGAAATGGCAAGAAATAACCGAATCGCTGAAAGGTTAGTGATAATTTTTTTCCACTGATACTGCTTCTTTGCCAATTGAAAAACGTATATTCTTGGAATTTCAGTCGCAGCCGCCAATGCGCAATATGGATGGAAAAATGGAAACTTGTACAAATATGAAGTCAACGGACGCACTCTGACCGCCCTCAACCAAGTCGCCGACCAATATGCCGGAGTTTTATTCAGAGCCAACCTTCTCGTCCAACCCTTCTCCGACGACAGATTGTCCGCCTACGTAAGTACCTTAACCAGAAAGTTCAACTTTTTTGACGTGGAATGGGGGGATTTAAGGACGATGCGCGCAAGTGCAGTCACTGAAAAAAATCGATATATACCTACATCAACGATTTCAAGTAAAATTGGTCTTAAGGCATATTCTGTGAAAAATTCGCTCCCGAATTCCAATTATTAAGCATCAAAAAGTCAGTTTGAACTTTCTTTCCGCCATAAGGATCCATGTAATTTTGAGACTTCAAACACGTATTTCTCGAAATAGCAAAAACTGCACTCATGCGCCTTGTCCTCCAAGCCCCTCAATTGAACTTCGGAATGAAAAATAGGGGTTAGTAATGATTAAAAAATTGATTGAATCCATAAGTCAAAGTTTTCAAGATATTTCACTGCTGTGCGTTAGAAATTCAAAATATCCTGTACAGCTTGTTTCCGGAAAATTGGCGACCGCGTGTCGCTTCCAGGACTTTATGTCCACCTACCTTTCGTCCATTAAATAAATTTCCACCGCTATTTATGTCCACTAAACGTTAAGTCCAGTCTTTATTATAAGTCCACTTGATTTAATGTCCAACCATGAATATGTCCAAAATTGTCCAAATTGTGGACATGTTAAGTCCACATGATTTTCTTCTCATTTAAATGACCGGAACCACCTCAAAAATAAATGCATACTACTACTACTACCTTCACTCTTAAAAACATATTATTCATGAATCAAGTCATGTAGGAGAACAGACTCTAAGAGCAGATAAAAACATTTGTTCATGTGTACACTGTACGGATATGATAAGATTATAACCAAAGCGGGAGCCTAGGAAACGCTCCAATGCCAAATTAAACATTTTTCAGTAACAGATGCAGTCAAAATTGGAAGTCCTCTCTAACTAGTTATTTCGTGCGCCTTCAATCTTGTAAGATACTGTGCAACGCCTCTGACGCGAAATAGTTGCTTAAAGCGTTGCGGCGCGGCAGGCAGTCGGCGTGACACGCGCATAGGCGCCTACAAACCCAACGGGATACTTCACGCGTTGCGCAATGCGTGAAGTATCCCGTTAGGTTTGTAGGCTCCAAGGCGCGTTCTGCGCTGCTAACACGCCGCTTCGCTCTGTGTTAGGCTCTAATATTTAAACTCGCGGAGTCAGCGTTTTTCAACTCATGATTTTGAAATGTTTGCACTCTCTGCATTGATTATTCCCTTTTAAACTGATTAAAAAGAAACATGTACTCCTTGAAAACATAATGTGTTTTTTGTAAACATAATAATGGTTCCGTGTCAAATTTAATGATTTCCAAAGCATTCAAATTTATTATTTTATGTTTTGGGCTTTTACTGTGCTGCAGCGTGGTGTAGGCGCAACCAAAAGCTCAAAATTGGACTTATTTGACTCAAGGAGGTCGATGTACAAATAAGTTAAACGCAAAAAAATGCGTGCTTCTTAGTTTTTTTCCTCTTTTATTAATTTTTGTATAGTTGCTTTCATCACAACTACGGCTCTTTGAGATTCATACCGATGCCATTGCTTGGAAAATATTTTACAAATATTTACCACGTTTTAAAAATGTAAATGTTTTTAAAATGAAGTAATGAATTTCATTAAAAAAAAGAATGTACATTTAAGGCATATTTTACATCGAAAATGTCAAGGATAGAAATGAAACCAAGTATTTACCGAAGACAATTTGAAAAGATGAATCAAAAGAAGAAATTAACATTTCAATTAAAATATGAGTTACGATACAACACCTCATTCTCTCTTAATTTTCTCATTTCGATATTGTCAATATGATTTTACACACGGACTAAAATATGACGCTTGAATTTGATTTTAGTGGACTTTACATTTGTGGACTTAACTTAGTGGACGTTTAAGTAATGGACTTAACAATAGTGTGGGCTTTAGAACTGTGGACGTAAACATTGTGGACGAGAAGTCTGTGGACATAAAGTCCGTGTGCCCACGTGTCACGTGTGTCAGTGTATTTCTTTATTTCAAATTTGAAAGATATTGAAATCGGCTTGTTTTTTATGGAATATTTTAAAAAAGCTCATGTCTTTTCAGGAAGAGTTTCAACACGCATAGGTTGTTAGCACGGGGTGTTTTCGTATTTTAAACGATCTTAGCTCTTACCCGTAGCTTAGAGGCTCGTAAAATAATATTAAAAGCTCCGCAAATGTTAATGTCGAATCATTTTGACACGGCTATTGTTTTTTCCTATTTCAGATTCAAAATGCCGAATTCGCTCAAGTTCATGCTGAGCTCCCAAGTGGATATGAATCTCACATCCCATCCAGCCACTTGAACTACAAGAACATGCCCCTCAGCCAAGAGCCATTTGAAATTAACCTGAAGAAGGGAGTTGTCTCCAGTCTCCGCGTTAACAAGAATGTCTCCGACTGGGAACTCAACATCATCAAGGCTGTTGTTAGTCAAATTCAAGTTGACACCCAAGGTCAAAACTTGAAACACTCTAGCCACAACCAACTGCCCAAAGTGAACAAGCCTTACGGTGTTTACAAGACCATGGAAGACTCCGTCACCGGCGAATGCGAGACTCTTTACGATGTCTCACCTCTGCCAGAAATCACACTCCAAACCAAACCCTGGTTGGTTCCTTTCCCCAACTTCCGTGAGAATGGACAATTCATCGATATTGTCAAGACTACCAACTACAGCAAGTGCGAGGAACGTTCTGCTTACCACTTTGGTATCACCGGTCTGACCAACTGGAAACCCGCCAGTAACCAGATGGGACAATTCCTCTCCGTAAGTTTTTTGTATTTACACCCTCTATATCATTCATTATGATTATGGCAAACAATTATAAATTGAGTTTGTCATGTGGAGCCTGAGCTTTTCATATTTTGCAGCAATGATTTTAAAAATACAGGACACCTTAAAATAGGTTGAGACTAACTAGATTTTTTTTTGAATATTAATGCATTTTGTCCGAATTCATCTATGATTACTCCGGAAAATTCCATACCTTAATTGCGGAACTTACATCCAAAAATGCAAAAACTTTGCGATTTATTTCTCCTGTACAAAAGCGGGGTATGAGCTTTATAATGCTGCTCTGGTTGTGTGTTGGCGCACAGAGCTTCAGGCAGTAAAGCACGATATTTTGTAATTAAAAACTACGATTTTGGGCTCATTTTAAAAACATCATAAAAACTATTGGTTCCTGTATGCAGATAGGTGCAATTCTAAATGAGGCACAACAGTGGTTCAATATTGCAAAATGTAGTCCAATAAAAGATACGCGTTTACAATTTTGACAAAAAAGTTTTTTTTTTTAAATTTTAGACGAAAAACTTAGTTTTCAAACTGGTGAGACGCGAATGATACGCTAAATAAGGTGTACAATCTGAGCCGCACTGAAAAATGTATACTTACATTTTTTCAACAAAAAGTGATACACATGTATCAATTCTGTTCATGAATTTTAGGAAAATTACTTGCAAAATTAGTTAATATAGAAAATGAACATCCTGCAATCATACCTCAAATAAAGTCAGCATGAAAATAATAATACTCTCTGCAGTTTCTCGTGATCTTTGGATTTACCCTTTTTTTTTCACTGTTTCAGCGGTCCAACATCAACCGTGTTGTCATTTCCGGAAACGTGAAATACTACACCATCCAGTCTTCCGTCTCCACCAACAAAATCGTCATCAGTCCACAGATGTATGAATCACAGAAGGGAATGGTTGTCAGCGTCATGAACTTGACTTTGGCTTCCTTCCACCAAGCTAACGGATCTCCCCGCAGCGTCTCAAACTCCCGCAAGATCAACAATTTAGTCTACGACTACTTGGCTGCATCTCCAAACGCATATGCCCAACACTACAACAACAATGGTGCCTCCAGCAGCAGTTCATCAAGCTCAAGCTCCAGCAGCTCATCCTCCTCATCCAGCAGCAGCTCCGAGGAAGCATACTACAACAACAAGAACAACCACAACCAACACAACGGAGATTCCAATGCCCCTCGTAGTCGCTCTCGCAGAGACTTGTCTCACTACGAAAACAAGCAAAACGACATTGAAGCCTCCGCTAATGGAAACAAGAAATACGAGAAGAAAAATAAGGGACACAACGGACACAATGGACACAACGGCCATAACGGTCACAACGGCCAAAATGGCAACAAAAACAACTCTTTCTACGGCAGTTACAGCAGCAGCTCCAGCCCCAGCAGTTCCAGCTCTAGCAGCTCCGAGGAAAGCAACTACCGTTACAAGAATGGTAAATTCGCCAGCTTCGCCCGTAACAACGAAACTGGATACTACGGCTCATACCAATCCAGCAGCTCCTCTGACTCCTCAAGCCCATCTAGCTCATCCAGCTCATCCAGCTCCTCCAGCTCATCCAGCTCTTCAAGCTCCTCTGATTCCTCTAGCTCCTCCAGCTCTTCCAGCTCCTCTGATTCCTCCAGCTCATCCAGCTCAAGCAGCAGCTCCGAGGAAGAGTACTACCGTAACAAGAACTACTACAACAAACACAACAACAGCCATGCCGACAACTACTACAACAAAAACAACAACAGCCATGCCGACAACTATCACAACAAATACAATAAGAACAAGGAAAACAACAGGAACAACGAAAACAACGGAAACAACCACAACGCTTACCGCAGCCGTTCTCGCAGACATGTGTCAAACTTTGAAAATGGACACAACGACCAAGACGCCTACGCTAATGGAAACGACCAATACGAGAAACGCCACAATGGAAACAACCAAGCCTTCTACGGCCCAAGTAACTTCGAGGAATACAATTCCAAGCACAGGAATGGTAAATTCGCCAGTTTTGCTCACCGCAACGGAGCTGGCTACTACGACTCCTCTTCATCCAGCAGCTCATCTGACTCCTCTGACTCTACCAGCTCCTCTAGCTCCTCAAGCTCTTCCAGCTCCTCCTCTGACTCTAGCTCTTCATCTAGCTCCGACGACAACAGTTCTTACGGATCCTCTGTCTCTAGCAGCAGCGAGGAAGAACACCAGCCAAAGCCTCGTTTGTACCAAGCCCCACGCACTCCTTTCCTTCCTTTCTTCGTCGGATACTACGGAAACAACATCCAGTCCGCCAAGGAAGTCAATGGTGTCGCTGTAGCTCGCAAATTGGCCTTTGAAATTGCCGAAGATTTACGCTACCCAAGTGAAATTCCCGCCAAAGGAACTCTGTCAAAATTCACCTTGTTGACCAGAGTCATCAGAACAATGGACGCCAAGCAAATTGAACAAGCTGCCCGCGAAATTTACTTCAACCACTACAAGGCATCGAGCCACAGCCAAGAAGACAACAAGAAAACCTATGCTTGGTTAGTGTTTTCATGTAATTTGCATAATGAATAAGTGTTTCAATCTGCGTATGAGTTTATACTTTTTATCACAGGCATGAGAAAAATTAGTTTTATCACGAAAGTCCCAATAAATATCGGATTTAAAATTAATACTTTAATTTAATATCGGCAATTTCTATAATATTTTAAAATTCATTAAAAAAGTAATTTCACCTTCAATTTTGTGGTGATATCCTTGAAATCAACTTCGGCTTTCACAGAGATCTCAAGGATTGTTCGCATCCTGTAGAGAGACTTGCGTACAAATTCTCGAATGAACAATCGAACTGAAAGTGAAAATTTTGTTTCAGCACTTTTTATAACCTGCCAGTTCTTTGTTACTTTTTTAGGAAGGCTTTCCGTGACGCTCTTGTCGAAGCTGGAACTGGACCTGCTTTCGTTGCCATCGTCAACTTCATTGAACGCAAAGAAATCACCCCATATGAAGCCTCTTTCATGATCAACCGTCTTCCAGTTGTTGCTCGTGAACCAACTCCTGAATACATGAACTACTTCTTCGTGAGTTTTATTTCATTTTTCCTCTTTTTTTGGCAGTTCTATCAAACTGCGTTTAAAAAATTCCAAAGGTTAAAAAATGTATCTGAAAAATTCAGTTCTGAATCAATAATTTTAACTCATGTTAATTATTTGGCAAACTTTATCAAATAATGCGCGTTTTCGCATCCTAATGGCTTTTAAAATATTTATTAATCAGGAAAATACACACAGCCTATTTGCTTGAAATTAATTTTTTCTGTATATTTTTTAAGTAGTTCATATGCTAATTGTTCATGCACTAATTTGTTAAGTATATCAAAAGTTCTTACCTATTCTGCCGTGCTCAGAAAATGTATGAACATTCGAGAGTTGCCAAATTTCCTTCGATAAAATGTTTATTTTTAGGAAAGTTAGGAATAATTGGACTATATTTTGCAATTTGGAACTATAAATTCTGGCTCTTCTGGAAAACACTTATGGATAGGGAAACTATTGGCACATACATTGTTTTTAAACCGGGCTTGAATATATGTATAGGTCCAAATTGCAAAATTTAGTCCAATTTTCCTTGAAATTTTCAAGAAGTTAGGTAAAGTTGCGAACTTTTTTTGAAAATCGGAAGGAATTATATTCATAAGTTTACCACAAAATTTGTGTTTTATCAAAAGAGATTTGGCAACGCTTGGAAGTTCACACGGCGTTTTTCCTTAGCACTGCAGTATTAGAGAATAGTAGATGAACTCTATTTTCCAGGAACCGTAAGAAAATAGAGGAAAATATCACTTTATTATCAAATTCAATTCTACAAAAATGTATTTTCTTTTTCTTCCTGCAGAAATTCGCCACCAGTGACTACGTCCAACACTCCGACTACTTGAACGAAACCGCCCTCCTTTCTTTCGCCGACTTAATGCGCAAGGTCGCCGTCAACCACAAAAATGCCTACGAATACTACCCTGTCCACACCTACGGATTCTACTTCTCTCAGCATTCCAAGGCTCTTACCCGCCAGTACATCCCTTACTTTGAACAATACTTGAAGAAAGCCGTTGCTCAAGGTGACAGTCGCAAAATCCAAGTATACACCCGTGCCCTCGGAAACTTCGCTCACCCACACATCCTCAGCGTCTTCGAGCCCTACTTCGAAGGAAAGATCCCAATTTCTACTTACCAACGTACCTACATGGTCTTCGCCCTCAATGAACTTGCCCATGTCTACCCTAACTTGGCTCGCTCAGTTCTTTTCAAGATCTACCAAAACACCCAAGAAAACCAAGAGGTCCGTGTTGCTGCTGTTTACTTGATCTTCGGAACTAACCCATCCGCTCAAACTCTCCAACGCATGGCTCAGTTCACCTACGAAGACCAAGACCAACAAGTTAATGCTGCCGTCTCATCTGCCATCCAAAACGCCGCCGCCAACTCCCGTTCTGGTTTCCGCCAAGAGCTGTGAGTGTTCATCATTTTTCCGCCATTTAAATGTATTTTTCTCTTCTTTTTTTCATATTTATAAAATTAGGGGACCCATGCTGCCATTCTAAGGAAAAACACTGTATGAGCATTCAAACGTTGTCAAATTTCCTCTCAGAGAATATCTATTTCTGAAGAAATTTAGGAATATTATTGTTTGGAATTTTTAGGCTTTTTAGATAAAAATTCAAACAAAATCCTCCGAGATATCAGAGCAGAAATATTTACAGTTTTTCCTGAAAATTCATTGTTTTTCGAAGGAAATTTGGCAACGCTCGATGGCTTATACTGCGTTATTCCATAGCCCGACGGTATGAGTGTTATAATAATTTCTATTCTAGTCAACGAAAAAATGAATACAGGAGGGAAAATTGGCGTTCGAGGTGACTCGGAATAGTTTTTAGACCAATTTTGTGCACCTGCTACTAACATTTTATTTTCTAATATCTCCCTTCCCTCTTCTTACCGGTCAATTGTTATAAAATTATAATTATTGCAGCATTTATTTTGATCATTAATCAATAGTAACAAATGTAAATTGATTAAAATTACGCTGTTACATCTTCAAAATTTCTCCACAGTGCTCAAGCTGCCCAATCTGCTGTTCACCTTCTCAGCCCCAAGACCTACGGGCTCCAATTCTCCAAGAAGTGGCTCCGTGACTACATTGTCAAAGAAGAAAACCTTGCTTACAGTGTTTACGCTGACACCATCCAAGGCGATGACTCTCTATTCCCCAACCAATATTATGCCGCTTTCTTCCGTCACGTTGGAGGATTCAACAAACGCGTTGCTTCCGTGAGTATTTTTTTCAAATTCACTTTCCAGTGCCCTGTTTCGAAAATAAAATTATCTCACAAAGTTTCCTTTTGTTTAATCGCCGAAGATGGATTTGCGGTCTTGTTGCGAAAAAAAGGAGTACAAATTGTGGAATTTTGTTGAGAGGACAATAAATGAATTAAAAGAAAAAGCTGCAGAACCGGAACTAGCTACTCCTTACTTAAACACGTGACCGGTGTCATGGGCTCAAATACTTTGCCATTATTACAATTCAAATAAATGATCACTTCATTAAGTGAGGAACTTAACCTTAATATGACGGAAAGGCATATCATTAAAGTTTGAACAAGTTAACGTGATTAATAGTAACGTAATAAAAGTTATCGTGTCTACAAAAAATTCCCCGACTTGGGATACACACCTCGTGTGTTAGTGTTGCCTACACTAAAAATTGAAGGCGGAATGACAATGCGTTCATGCAATCTTTTCCGGTTTTATGAATACCTATTTTTTTCAGTATTTTCGTAGTGATCGCGCCATCGCAAAACGATATCACCATTCAACCACGTGAGAGCTTGTGTTGCCTACACCTGATTTGAAGGCACTTTAAAATGACGCTAATTTAATCTTTTCTCTTTTTTCGAATATGTATTTTAAGTCTTTGTCCCAAAAAGGCGTGTTATTAAATTGACGTGATTGTATCAAAATGTATTATGTTCAAAACAAATGCGTAGATAGAGACAGTCTGAATATTATTTGAAGGATTTTAATGAAAAATATGCCACATAATGGACCACTAGACAAGGTACGAATTTAAGCAATCTGATACATGTTTCTTAACCAGAATTTCATGTAAAACACGATTCGTGCAACGAAAATTACTTAAACCAACTCCTAACGAAGATATTAACGTTTTTATTTCACATTGGTTACGAGGAATTTGCACTGCCCGCTCACAAGAAACTCAAAGCTCTACTTGAGTCAAATCGCACACTACAACGGTTTCAGCAAGCTTCTCAATCGAGCAATGTTCATTTCCCATCATGTGTTGTTCAAACCACAAGAAATTTGTTATAGCTGAGCCAAACCGTCAAAATTGAGGTTTCCAGATTTTTATATCGCAGAGACCATCATGATAAAAGTTTAGCGCGCGATGCGAATCACGTAGAGCATTGAGTTTTCATGAGCGGGTGGTTTGAATTCACGCATCAAGAATCATTAACTATCTTCGTAAGGAGTTGATTTCGGCAATTTTTGCTGTGCGCATCGCATTTTACATGAAATTTTGGTTAAGAAACATGTATCAGAAAGCTGAAATTCGTACCTTGTCTAGTGGTCCATTTTCATATATTTTTCTGTTATTATTTTCATTATTCAATATTTATTCGTAGTCTACTCAATTCGACTTTTTTCATCGATTTAAGAAAAAATTTGAGAGTGATCATTATACCCCTATTTATTTTTGGAGGGCTCCTATAAGTTATTTACACGTGACTTTTTCATTTTTAGTTCCGTGCTTTCGCCTCTAGTGCTAGTGACTTATTCGACAAGATCGCTGACACGTTCTACTTCAGTGAGGAATACCAGGACAAGTCCTTCGAGAAATTCTCTAAATACTCTGCTGAAGAAATTTTCAAGAACTTCAACTTCAAGGCCGATTTCCCCAAAGAATTGGAGGCCTACTTCCAATACTATTTCTTAGGATCCAAACAGTACGCTTTCTTCAACGAGGAATTCTTCAACCAGATCCCCAGAGGTGTGTTATTTGTTCCTTCAAAAATTTTCACATGAGAATGAAGTTATTATTATCCGATTTACCATAACTTTTTTACATCTTATATTCTTTCTTCCGCGTTGCACTAATGGTGTATATCGACGGTGAGACTTCCAGACCACGTATCTCGGGTTGTATACTTCCTGTTACACTTTATTTTTGAATGGAAAACTACCCATCGTCAACTTATGAAAACTTTATTGATTTTTCTTCTCTGAGCAAATAAAACCCTGTGCAAACTTTGAGAAATGATAATAACTTGTTCTCCCTAAAAAAAAAAAAAAAAAAAAAAAAAAAAAAAAAATGGGAGTGGAGATTTTTAAACACCGCAAACGAGATATGTGGCCTGGTAGTTTTACCCTCGATATTTTATAACTTCCTCATATCAGGGGTGCTCAAAATACAGCAATAGATAAGAGTATTTTGAAATTGAGAAAATAAGTTTAAAATTATTAATGCACCTTCATCTGGTAGGTTCTTTTTGCCGTCTTATGTTTTGTGTTGTATTTCAACCAGATATTTCACCAATTATTAAGAGGAAGCTTGAATTACTTTTGACTTTTACCTCTAACTAACCTCAGTTTTCAAAATGAGCTGCTAAAAATTGAATAAATGCAAGAAAGTAATATCGAGCTTGTTTTTATTATGTCCTAGATCTTGAGAATGCTCTGGCTAAGGCTTCCAATGGCTACGCTTTCAACTACACCAAATTCTACAACGATTTTGCCCTCACCGTTGGTTTCCCAACTGCCACTGGTCTTCCCTTCTCCTACACCGTCAAGCTCCCAACTCTCCTCAACTTTGGTGGAGAAGTTCAGGCTAAAGCTCATGGATTCCAGGCCAACAACAACAAGTTCCGCATCCCTGAAGCCGTCAATGTCTCCGCTGAAATTGACTTTGCGTAAGTTTAAAACACCACGTGTCTTTTTTGCGTACTAAAACATGTAGAATACCACCTATAAACCTCCAATCATGAATTAATCCCACAAATAAGCGTTCGGAATTTTTCTTTTATAAACACGTATTTTTTCCGTTGATTACTGAATTTTCCCGGTGATCTCGGTTTCAGAAGATTTTCAGAATCATGAAGTTATCATTTTTTGTAGTTTCTCAAAATGAAGTCAAAGTGAAATACCTTCAACTGTCATTCTCTGATGTTTCAGTTACGCCCTCAAGTTGGAATCCAAATTCGGATTCGTTACTCCCTTCGACCACCAACGCTATGTTGCCGGAATTGACAAGAACGTAAACTTCAACCTCCCACTGAAGTTCAATGCTAACCTTGATGTCTACAACACTAAGGCTGAGATTGTTGTCAAACCATTGAACAACCAACATGAACAAAGAATGTTCCACTACAGTGCTTACCCATACACCGCTTTCTACAGCATCTTCAACTTCGCTCCAGTTCAATTCAACAGCAACATGAAGAAAATCTACACCAACGGCCACAAGAACGAAGTACGTCATATACTTCATTTTTGTCATTTAAAGCAAAGTACCTCTGCAATTTTCTTAAAATGTATGATGAACAAAATTTGAATAAGGAGAGAGCATTAGTACCTCTATCAAAAGTATTTACACTTTTTTTTATTTCAATATAATTTTAAAATTGTATTTATTCTATTGTATTTTTATATATTTTACATATCAGTTTGAGATATCGATCTTTGTCTCAAACAATCGAGAGATCAATATTAGCATTAATTCGAATTTGATAAAAGTTGGCCTCCTACTACACTCATGAATAATAGATTATTCGAAATTAACGCAACAGTCATTAAATGTTGCCTTTCCTTGAAACTTCCTGTAACGATGCGATTTGGAAGAATTTCTTACTCAAGTCTATCACTCTTGTTTCAGTACAACCAAGTCTTCGGAGATGATAAAATTGGATTCAACTTCCGTGCCAACTACAAAGGAGACTACAAGTACTTCGACTTCGCTACCTTCTACAATTGCTTCCAACGCAACGACTTCCTTTCATTCTTCTTCTACCCATGGAATGAACAGGAAATTAAACAGAACGATTTCAACCTGTACTTCAGCCCATCTTCCTCCGCCAACAAAGCCGCCAAATTCACCTTCAACTATGGTACAAGCTCACACAATTTTCTCTTCCTTTTTTGTATCAATATTTCATTTGAGAAAAATGTTTGTCTTTAAGAAATATTTTAATATTTACACGCCAGATAGAGTGGAAAAATACATGTTTAACTTTGAAGGAAACAATCCAACTTTCACTGCACACTCAAAGCGTTTTATCGCAAGCTTGAATGCAGACGTACGGAGAGGAGAACTTTTACAAGAACAAGGCCTCTTGATTAAAAGGCTGTGCGATAAATTGTGCGGAATGAACATATTAAGGAGAACATTATATTAACTTTCAAAGTGGGGGTTTTATGTAATATTCTAATGATTCGTTTAAAATTCACGTCAATTTTGACCGCAAGTGTTCATTATTATTCACTTTTCGAGATCATAACAATTTTAATTTGATTTTTAGCTCATAAATACGCTGCAAAGGAACAAGCTGACCATGAAAGCAGAAATGCTAACACCAACGATGCCATCCCATCCATCTACAAACCTGACAGTGAAGAAAGATTGTACGAATTTGTTCGCAGATCTTACGCCGGAATCAACAGTAAGTTTTATTTCGTGTCTTTAAGCAAAATTTGGTATCTGACCTTGAATTTTAATCGAAAGAACATTAAAGTATTTAGGACCTGCTAAGTTACATCACGTCATGTTCGCCTCAAGCTTTAAAAATAATTTTAAAGGCTTTTTTCAAATTTTGAGAGGATAAACCTGAAAAGTTAGCAAAAATGTAGAAAGAATGAGAAAAATATAAATTAAATAAAAAGTAAAATGTAGTCTCAATTAATGCAATGAAAAAGTTTGGAAAATGTTATTCTCAGATTGTTATTAAGTATTGGGTCTAGATATAAACGTTTCTTTTTCAGGTGCCTTTGTAAATGCCTTTGATTTCTCTGCCCAATTCCTCGGACGAAAGGAAGCTGATTACGTTGCCACCTTTGCTTTCGCCCGCAGCCCTGTTTCAGAAAAATCTCGTTTCCTTTTCTACGGAAAATACAACACTGCCAACAACAAGAAGCAACAGGTAATAATACATGAGAGAAATATGTAGAATGCTAAATGGACTACATTTACCTTTAAAAAAGCCATTTTAATTTTCAATTTTCTTTATTATGTCGCACTACTTTTCAGTAGGTACTAATTTATGTTTCGCGTCTCTTATGTTTGTGGTGTTTTACCACAAACTTCAGAGATTTACATCATAAATTAGCACTTGATGGAAGTCCTTTAGGGCACGCTCAAGATATCAATATTAATAATACCGTATTCCGCCTTCAAAAGGCTGTGGGTCTTCTGCCATAGGATAAAGTGCGAAATTCATCAAGTTTTTAAGTTAGTAACACAGAGACATAATACAGCCGTGCCTATCTTAGCTCTCGAGGTGATCAATGACAAAAATTTACCAAAAAGTATTAATGTATTTTTTTCTTTCCTTAGTACGCTTTCCATGCCTCCTCTGAAATGCCCAATGTTCCCCTCACCAACCCAGCTGCCGCCATGAAAGCCGAGCCTTCATCCAAGTTCTACGCTAACTTCAAGTTCGGAGAATCTTTTGACAATGCTGCCAAAATCCACTTCTATGTGAGTAAAATTCTGTTACTATTTTCTTAAGCCACTATTATGATAAAGCTTTGGAAACTTCTTTATTTTCCGTTTTACCCTAGTAGGGTGGTCGTAAAAATCATTCAGTTGAGTCTTCTCAAACATAGGTTTGTTCCAAATTGTTTTAAAAAAATATAGAGATTGAACAGCAATAAGACTGTAACTTCCAGAGTTTAAGTGTGTGTCAAGCTCTTTTATGATCATAATTCCAATGTAACTTTCAAAATAAAACCTCCTCAAAATCTTGGGATCTCACTTATGAGGAGAACGAGTATCTATAAATTTCATCTTTATTTTCATTTTTTAGGCTAACGCTAAACAAAGCGCTGAACGCCGTCAATACATGCGCGACAACGACCTGTACAAACAATGTGAATCTGAGATGCAACGCGGACAACACTTCCTCAATGCCTGCCGTAACTTCACCGTCGCTGACAACAGACTGAACGAATACTACTACAACTTCAACTTCCAGAACGTGAGTATAATGCGAACAAAACCATTGTGAACAATCATGTAACATTACGTGTCATTACATGAGGCAGTATTTAAATTATTGAATGTGATCGTAAACAGTTTTAAACCATGTGTAAGTATTAGTCGCTTTTACAGCGCACCAGGGCGCTCTGCCACACCTAACCGCCACTGGAATCTGGCATGGTAGAGATTTTTCGGAAGCTGGCATCTCTTCATCTCTTCTGGGATTTCATCACTCGTCTCTTAGGTGGCTGCCTCCTACGTTATCTAACTGAACAATATCTTACTCCACAACATAAAAGCATGAGCGTATCGCGTAACGCATAACGCCCGAGACACGAAGCACTTTAGTAAGTTGGACCGCGAAATTGTCAGGGGGCCTGGCTCCCTGGTTAAATACTAAAATAAAGGTGATGATTAAAGTTAATGATGAGAGTGTAGAGGGCACTCCTACGCAAAACAAATATATGTAAAATTGCAGTGAATGAATGAATGATTTATTTTATCTTCTGTCCCTCGGTAGTTCTTCATTATGATTACTGATTTTTTACGAAACCATGGCTCGTTTTTAAATCAGCGTAGCCATGTTTTTTTCCATTTATTTTTTTCGTTGGTTCGCAGTCAAGAAAACTAATCTTGATGTAATGCTCACAGGTTCCTGAATACTTCAAGAACTACACCTACAAAGCCTTCTCTATCGCCCGTCATCTTGGATACCAATACCAAAGCGAGAATTTCGTCAACCCTCATTACAAACCAAACGAAATCGAAGGAGTTTTCAAGTTCTCACCAAGCTTCAGATACGCTAACTTCTCATTCTACTCTCCCGCTTTCTCCGCCGTCTTTGACAATGTCCCCGTCAACCAATACTTCTCCGCTATCTTCGCCCCCCACCCAACTTACTCCGCCTTCGACTTCCTGATGCAAGAGACCTTCCGATCAAGATACCAAGGTAATTATAAAAATTAAAAATGACACTGAAAAAAATGATATGCTATTTCAGCACCCAGGATGTCAAAAATGTGTCTGGTGATCCCAAGATGCTACCTTTGCTGCCCTCGCAGTCAACTTTACATCCTATGAATGCAAATTCAACTGCGTGGGCAATCAAGGCAGCATCTTAGGATCACCAGACATATTTTTGACATCCTAGGTGCTAAAACAGAATACCATTTTTTCAGTGAAGAACAACGTTACATTAGGCAGTTTACCATCCCAATATCATTGTAAGCAAGTCTGATCACTAAAATTGAATTGGACTCTATTTTGCAACTAAGAACTACAATTTTTACCTACCTGAAGGAGCACTTATGAAAAAACTGAATCCTACATACATTGTTTCTAAACTTAGCTAGGTATTTTAGTTCCTGATTGCAAAATATAGTCGATTTAAGGCTCACACGAAACTATCTGATGGGTCACAAACACGCTGGAACTGAGTTTTAATTTCGCGTCTCATACCTATTTTATAAACAAGTTCTTGAGAGTTTTTAAAATGTTCTGAGACTTTAAATGTGACTTGTGTGCCACCTGTCAATTTTACAACCCTCCGGAGCCTACCTCCTTCTTAGGAAGTAAAAATACAAAATATACGCTAGCAATACTGCTGTAGAAAGACATCTCTTAAATTCTGAGAAATGTTATGAATTTCGATGGTACTCTTTTGGTTACACTTTCAAAAATTGCAACCCCTAAATTCTACTAAAGTACAATCGCATGAGCCTGATTTGATCTATCTTTCTAGCTGCTTGTGTTGCTGACAAGGGATTTGCCACCACCTTTGACAACAGAACTTTCCCAGCTCACTTCCAAAACAACTGGTACGTCCTCATGGCCTACGTTAACAGAAACAACTACTACAATAACAACTTCAACGGGTACTTTCAACAAAACAAAAACCAGCACAGCTACAGAGACTACAACGAAAAGAGATTCTACTCCGCTGTGCTCGCCAGAGAAAACAGCCACGGCCAAAAGGTAAGTGTGATATTCATGATAGGTTTTCATAGTTTTGATGAGATGTTCACTAAATTATTTAATATGCGGATAAACATATTACGCATTTTTCAATGGTCCGTTTTGGATTTTCCTCTATGTTCTTAATATTGTAGGTATAAATTACTCCCCTATTGCTTTAAAACCTAAATAATGAGGGGAAAATATACTTAAACTTTGGATTTTGCCCGCAAATAAAATGTAGAAATCTTTCACGTACAGTTTTACGAAAAGAATAAAAACCCGTGACAGCAACCTTCTTTAGATGGGACTAATGAAATTATCAAAATTTAAGGCATACAACGATAAAACACGTTATTAATTTTTCTTTTTCAGGAATTAAAAGTTGTCCTCAACAATGGTGAATACGAATTCAATTTCGAACCCGCCTCCCAGAACGCTGGATTCTCTAACTCCTTCTCCGCCAGCAACCCTTCTGCCAAGATCCAATTCAACAAGGAATACCAACACGTTCAGTACAAGTACATGAACGACTTCTTCGACGAGAATGGAAAGATCTTCGCCCAATTCTACGCTCTTCCTGACGGAGCCATCCGCTTCTTCGCTCCTCAAGCTGGACTTGAGTTTTTCTACGATGGTGCCCGCGTTAAATTCCAAGTGAGTATAGCTTGAGATGAAATCATAGCTGATTAAAACAGTCGTGATAGCTTATTCTTTAACGTTTTACCTAAAAAGTCGTCCTGGAATTCATGTTGAAAGTTTCACTCCTCAAAAATTATTGAATCCATGGAAGCGCATTAAATTGAAATTCACAAATTTAAAAAAGGCGATTTCTTGTATCAGAGGGATTTGGACATCTATCAGGCTAATTCTCCCAAATTCCTATTTTTTTAATCAGATTCGAGTCTTTAAAATTCCTCGACTTTTTTTTTTAGCAAAAATATATAAAAGGTTTTGTTGACGTATAGGAGCCGGAGTCCGGTTTTTGCGGTCACGCATTTGTTGTTATATTTACACAATGAAAGCATTATTTGGAAAATTGACAATGTTGCGATAAATATTAGTGATAGTTTACTTCATCGGCACAAAATGCAACGATAATATTCAGTTACGGAGCAAGAGAAACAAGCGAAACGCCTTCCTTTGAGGCGCAAGCAACGAACACTGAACGAATTTCATTACAACGCCTTGATGCAACTATACGAGCTCCACGGATGTCCGTGTTGCATACGCACGCAGGTGAAGGCGCTTTAAGAGTCCAGGCATTCGCCGCCTCACAGCGCATTCGCGGCCCGCGGTGCGGCGCCAACCCTAGATTTTATTACGAGGATCCAACATTGCAGAGCGCTAAAAATTATTCGTCTATACTACAAAGGAACCTAGGCACGAATAGGTGCACACAGGCGTAAGACGTGAGTACCTATGAAGGTTCAATTTTGATATCATCATGTGTTGAACATGATTTATAGGGCAACTATTTATGCCTAAGAGATGTCTTTGAAGTATAAATGAATAATTGAAGGCACTCTGCCATTTAGATCTTCGCAGTAAAGCCCACCGCACAATGAGATGAGCCTTTTAAAGAGGTCGAACGTGAAATTTTCTACAAATACTGCAAATGTTGAGGATTATTTCTTTATACTATAATTCATATGGGATGGACCTTGAATGAGATTTTGCAAGAAAATCAAGGAAACCACTTCTTCGAGTATAAATTTCAAACATTACTTTGCATAAATTTTACAGCAATACTTAAATGTTTGCTTTGAAGCAAAAAAATTCGTGATTTTTCCTTGGAGCCATTTTTCTAAGATTGTTTCCCGATGATTCTGTATGGCAAAAATAATGATGCTGCTTGACAACTCATGACTAATGGGTGATTTTTACTATTTTCCAGGCCGCTAGCCAATACCGTGGTGCCGTCCGTGGTATCTGTGGAACTTACTCCAACCAATACGCCGATGACTTCACCAGCCCCAAGAACTGCATCATGAGCAACCCCCAGTACTTCACTGCCGCCTACGCTTTCATCGACTCTTCCTCCCCTGCCGAACTCAAATCCCAGCGCGACCACGCTGAACAGGGTTCCTGCGCCTACAAGACCTACCTCGCTGGCAACTACGTCAGCCGCAATGAAGGCTCCAACGGATACAAGTACTACAAATACAACAACTCTGACAAATACTACGAATCTGCCTACAAGAACTCCAAGTACTACGATGCATCCAGATACAACTACCAATACAACCCATACTACCAAAGCCAGAAAAAATACGCCCGCAGCGAGGACAACTCCTACTCCAGCAGCAGCTCTTCCTCCTCCAGCTCTGACAGTTCCTCTTCCTCATCCTCCATGGACGCCTCCTACTACAACAGCTACGAACAGAGAAACCAAAACGGACCTTCCATCCACAAGCTTTACCGTGTGATGAACGAAGGAGAGAAAACTTGCTTCTCTGTCAATGCTATCCCTACTTGCAGATATCCATACAAGCCCCAAGGTGGAGCTTACAAGGAGGTAATTATAAAGTATAATTATGCTATAGGCTATGTCTGCTTTAATTTAACTCAACGCAGAGCTCCTATTAAAAATATTTGTTAATTATCCTAGGGGGGAGGAACAAATTTTGCACCTTGCATTTGGGGAGGAGAGACCAATGCCTACGTTGGAAGGAGACATATGCAAAATGGGATAAACCTAGCGTCGTTAGTAGACCAATTTTTGAAAAATTGCATGAGTTCATAGCAAGGAAATATTTTGAAGCCACGTTTTTTCAAATAATCGATGACAATTAGGGAGTAGTTAGGGGGTGCTTAGCGTGTCATAGATTTATGAGGGAAGTTTAGACCGACCACCTCCCCTCAGTCAATTGTCTTTATTCACCATTTGGTACGGATTTTTTTCGTAAAATAAAACATGTTTATTTTTACTTTTTCAGATTGACTTCTACTGTGTCTCAAGAAATTCTGAGGAAGCTCGCCACTACGAGAAGCTCATCAAGAAGGGAGCTAGCCCCAGCCAACTTTCTACCAAGAAAGCCAATGGTCAATTCAAGGTTAACATCCCTGAATACTGTGTAGCTTAAGTTTTAATTGTTAAGTAAATGTATATATGTATTAATTACACTGTAGTTTAGTTTTATTCCGTTTAAGCAGAGAGACCGGACTTTCAATTTTCAAATTAAATCCGTGTCCCCTGTGTATAAAAAAATTGAATAAACTCATTTCTAGCAAAAAATGTCCAGTTTTAATTTATTTAAAATGCGCTGTCTAAAAAATTAAAAGAGTCGAAGTGCTCATTATCCCATCGAAGGGCTGTCAGGCGTTGAAAAAGTCTATGTCAGAATGATGATTATAGTTAGCACATGAAGTTTTGCTACCACCTCAAATACCTGGATTAACATAGAGAAGATTGGAAATAAAAAAAGCTGTGATTTTTTAAAAACACTATGAAATTAATATATCGATACTGCAGACATACATATCTCGGTTTGCGGCGTAGCAGACTTCCTGTCATACTTTATTTTCTGCGTGAAAAACTACTGTACCTTTTTAAAATTTTAGTGATTGTTTTTCTCCTAATGAAGAATATTCTGTGAAAATGTCAAGTCATGATATTGGGTCGAGAACTTTTTTGTCTTTCTTCGTATCTATCTCTAAGATCAAGCAGCCCAAAAGAAGCATGTAGAAGTATTTTTGAGATATTGGAACAATTGACTACTTTTCTTTAGGGAGAGAATATTTCTAAAATGTCTACCTTATTTTAAGACGCAAAGTTAAGACTTAACCTTAATTTATCAGGGAGTGGAATTCCAAATAAATATGATAAGCAGATTCTCTTGTTTCCGTCCGAATAATTGATATACTTTAATGGTTAAGAAACATACATCAATTTGGTAAGTGTTTTCCAGAGTTTTTTGCGAAGCAGTGCGCTAAGTAGGCACAACTGGCATCATTTTCAAAAAACTGACCTGGTCACGAGACAAAATAAGATATTTGTTTCTGAATTTTCATGGTCCCGATTGTACTGCTGCTCATTCGTGTAATTCAATTGGTCGAGCAAAGAATTATAGTGAATTCAAGGAGGAGAAATCTCGCTCTCGTGGTTCTATTCAGATGAATGTATGATTCACATGCTTCTCTTTCCGTCCTGTATGAGCTACCACCTTATAAAACACATAAAAAACGCGTTCACCGGAGGTTTTGGGAAGTCTAAATCATTGCAATTGAATGAATCTCGATGCACATTCAAATGTTGAGGTCCGATGATCGTCTTCATCTTCATAGTCATCCATTCTTTTCATTTTAAAGAAAAAACAAGCAGTGAACTCCAACACAATGTGTTGATAAGGCGCGTCATTAACTCGCACATATCAACCCCTTTAGTTTTCATTTACAGAGATTTCAAAATAGGCAAACAGCATAAAAAGAGAATTCACGATCCAACACTGCGAGGTCAAAGACGCACCTTGACGAGACCGTGTATTGTGAAAGTAGAAAGCTATTCGATCGAATTTAAGTTTTTTGATCTGCCTCAAGCAAAATCTTATCAGATTCTTGAAGAAAAGTGCTACGGAATAATTTAAGCGAAGAAAGGAAAAATTCTGTCGAACTCCTAGAAGATAAAGTCGATTTAAAGGTATTTTGGGGCTAAAATACCCAAATCACCGGTAGTAAAAATCCCGTTATATTATTGAAAAGAAATTGACTCGATATAAATGCAATTGCATTAAATACGTCTTGATTTTGTTATTTTAAACGTCTTTCCATGCAAAGAAGTTCAACCATGTCGTTGCTTTATTCATTCATGAATTGAAAGTAAGCAATCTACATCCCGAAAATCTACTGATTTGCCGTAAAAAATTGCAGAAACTTGATATACCAGGTCGATGCACCCACTCGTTGAATTTACCAACCAATTTTGTGAGTGCAAATGTGTAAGAATCAATATGCTATAGTCATTTTGGGTGCATTTATTTTTCATGAAACAATAATAATTTCAATCCCGAAAAACCATCAATTTTCCGTATAAAATCGAAAAAATCAAAATATGTCAACTCCCCGACGTGAAAATTAGATTCTACGTATGTAAAATGTAAATACTTATGTATCGATATGCTGAACAGAACTATGTGTGGACAGTCAGAAGCCCGCGGCAACATTAATTCAACAGAAAAACTGTAAAAATTAGATAGGATTTTAGCCGCTTTGCCCGCCTCTCCTCGCTACTTACAACAAACCGTTCTTATACTCATCTCAAAATTTTTCTCAGAGCTTTGGGTTATTATCAGCTTCCATTTAAACTCCGGTTCGATGGCCGAATCGGCTGCCAAAAAAGCAAGCCACTGTTGAGGGGTTCTATGAGAAATTCGTGATATTATCGGCTCTCAGGAAATCACCCCATGGCTAAAATTGGTGGTATAAATGTTTAAGTGCTTAAAATAATCGTATTCAAGAAACTAAGGAATTAAACTATGGAGTCAATTTCTTTTTAATAATATAACGAATTTACTACCGGTGATTTAGCTATTATAGCCCCAGAATACTTTTAAAGCGCCTTTGCGTTCCAGAATCTCGACGGAATTTTTTTTTTTTTTTTTTTTGCTTAAACGATTCAAGAAACATTGTAGTTAAAAATATAAAGATTTTTCGATTTGGACGTATGAAAAATGTTTAACTCGTTCAGGCACACCGTGTATTGTATGGAGTACTGCTGTTATTCGACCGTTGTCTTCAGGTCAAAATTCTTACAAAGAAGCCCCTTGCAAGAGGCAAATTTTTTGTAATTTCTCCCAGTTTTTTCAGCGTTAGGTATATAAATGAATTGTTTGTCAAATTTTGAGGTCAATTATATTTAATTGTAATTTATACTTTCTTTTTTTCCCCTTCATTTTATTTTTCGTATCGAGGAGTCGAGGTTTTGTTGATTTCTTCGGATTTCGATTACTGTAACTTCTCTTCTATTCGGCCGATTTTTATGAATGAGGTCTCTTTTTATTTGTGTTTTAACGGAGAGTAAGGAAAAAATTGCTAAATACATGCGAAACAATTTTTTTTGAAAATTGGATGAATCCTAGCGTGACGGTGAAATGGTTAATGAAGCGTGAGTAATTGGGGTACGGGTATCGGCCGCGTTGGGACCCAAGGCCCATTGTTCTTCGTGACGCCGACGCAGTGATCAGGAGCGTGGGGACGAGAGGGCTTAGTGGACTCCTGTATGAGCCACGTTTAGCAAATGGTCTAATGAGTCTCGAGGCTCATCACAGATTGCACTTACCACTATCCTGGTGGCCCCGGCTATCAGAGCAAGGAGTACCAACTTTTGAAAAGGATAACAGTGTTGTGGAGATATGTCAAAGCAACGTTGTGAACAAAACGGAGTGAGTGAAATTCTCATTCAAGGAGTGCCGAACTGGTCAGCCATCCTCGAATCAGTTCGCTTGCTTCCGCTTATATATGCATATTTTAAATCAGCGCGCCCCATTCTAAGGTTTTTTTAAAAAAAACCAAGAAACGTAGACTCTTGGTATTCATTACACATAAACTAGCGAGCCCCAGAATGAGAAACAAATTTTAATCATTATTATTGACGGATTAGTAAACTTTTTACACGCTTTGGAAAATCTCAGAAGTTCGCGGTAGTCACTTTTCGGTAAGGAACTAGGGGACTCGGTTATTGTATCGAGGGGGGGTCGAAACGATCGCAAAGGCGGTATACTACGTATACGCGCCAAAAAATCTCTTCAAGTGTACAACAGACATAGAAACGAATGACTGACGATTTCTTGAGGCCAGAAAGAACCCCGTGACTCACTCAATTCGAGGAATCCATCATTTGAGGGGCTTGGAAGACAAGGCGTATAAGTGCAGTATTTACTTTTTCGAGAAAACGTATTTAAAGTTTCGAAATTACATGAATCCCTATGGCGGAAAGCGGATGCTGAAAAATTGGAATTTGAGAGCGAATTTTTGTCAGAATATGCAAGAGGAAGAGTTTTACTTGAAAGCATCAATATTTCAATTTTTTCAAAAAACCACACTTATGCACCTTATCCTCAAGCCCATCATTTTTACACATGATTTTTGATTTGTAAAAAGAGTCAAGCGTGCATGTATAAAACCGTTTTGCACATCAGTTATTTTCCAAGTGTTAATCAAAATTCAATGGTATTTACCTCTATTTATCCTGAATCACCCTGATTCATCCTGAATCACCCTGATTCATCCCGAATACATGAATCCAGATGAAAAGCGTCAATACGCTGTTATCAGCTACTAGGTGACTTGCAGAAAGCCAGGTCTCAAACTCTGCGGCTTTTCCGGTGGCGGTAGGCTTACGCTAAGAGCATCCTGTGTCGGTGTGTTTCACGCAACCCGCACTGCATCGGCTATTGTTCTTGTGTGGATCAAGGCCGAGCGGCTGACCGCCAGGCCATCGGGCGGTGGGCTGAGGCGCTGCGGACGCCGATTTGCAAATTTCGGCACGGATGCGCTTCGCCGGCGCCGCGGCGCGGCGCGGGCGTCACGGGTCCGGCGCCTGCGGATTCCGCCGAGGAAAGTGATGAGAGGATGCGCGAGAGTAGTAGATCCGCTGCTCATACCGCGGTGCCATATCGGCCCAAAGAACATGGTAACTGATTAACAAAAAAAATCGAGCTATATAAGCAAAAAAAAGTAATATTTCAAACTACATATACATATAGATGAGAAATAATATAAAAATTACAAGAGACTTTACTATGTGATTACTTATGTGATCACTTTCTCATTTACGTATATGTAGTTTAAAATATTATTTGACTTTTTTCGGCTTATAGTTCAATTTTTTTAAAAAATCAGTCACCATGTTCTAAACAGCTTAGCCAACCAAATTTGTCATTCAAATGTATTGGCCCAAAGGTGGTAAGTCATGAACAAAAATGTAAAATAAAATTTCTCTTTGCTCAAAAAGGTTCATCTTTCCATAGTTTTAAAAAATTAGGAATGCCAGCTCCCGAAAGGGCTTTGTAAGGATAGGGACTTTGGCGGCTGGGAGTTGCAGACCATCAAAGAGCACAGTGAAAGCGGTTTTTATGTATGTAGATATGTCTGTAGGTCAGGGCCGAATTAAGGGGGTGGTCACATGGGCCACGGCCCATGGCGGCAAATTTTGCAATTTTTTTAAATGTAGGTATTAAAAAAAATTGGATATTGAAAAAAATTACAGACAAAATCTCTCATTTCCTGAGAGTATAGTAA